GCTCGACTCACCCATGGTGTTGGCCTCCGCAGCATGGGGTTTTCTATCCTGCCGCCGAACGCAACATTTTTGCTGTGGCCTGAATAATTGCCAGGGTTTTATGGGCCAAAACCTTAATATGATCACAAAAAATGTGGAGCGGAATTGCCCAAAAATTTCGACCAGCTGGGGGTTCCTCAACGAGCACCAACATTGCCCAGTACGCATGCCTCCGTCGAAATAGAACCGCCGCAACTGCGATCGAACCCGTGTCCACCGGCTGAGCAGCGGAGTGCTGTAGCCACTGTACCACAGTGTTCTAGCCTTCAATGTTATCATTCGGGCACTGGCTATCGCAAAGCCTCCACATTAGTCAGGAGCTCAAAACCAACTTTCTTGGTCCTATATTACCATGACGAATACAGCATCATAGATTATAGCTGAAGAAAGAAAAATTTTTGGCAGATCCCACATGCCAAAATCGATATTGTGAGAGGCATGTGGAGGTGGCAAACAACTGTACATAACTGAAGATCTATCCCCGAATGTGCGCACCTTACAAAAGAAACTGTGGGACGCAACTGCCAGTTATCGAGATAGCGGATCCAGAGTAAAACTACGGTATGATGATGCCTATATTGATGACGTGCGCTACATCTGGGACAATAGTACAGATTCCTAAAGCGTGATTCTACTGGCGCCATTAAAGAATCGTTTGCTTCAAAAACTAAAGCACCTTCTCGTTGACTGCCAGGAATTTCTCAAAAACTAAGTATTTTGTATTTAAATGCCAGAAGCATTCTTAAAAAGTTCGTGCCTTTACTTGCCCTTGTTGCGTCCTACTCTCCCCATTTAGTGGTCATTACGGAAACCTGGCTACATGATGGAGTGTTTGATTGTGAATTTACCCCACCCGGTTATGTAGCAGTATGCAATGACTGATCACATGGCAAAGGTGGTGGTGTAGCACTACTGATTCGTTCAGAAATTAAATTTTTTGTGCTGCCCGACACACCTGATGTTGAACTAGTTTGGTGTAAACTATGTTTAAATAAACTGTCAATAATTGTTGGTGTATGCTATCGTGCACCAGGCTCTTGCTTAGAATATCTAAAAAGGCTTAGCACATTTGTGCACAAACATGACTTCGGTGCCTCAGAATTTGTCTTTATGGGCGACTTTAATGCACCTGGTATTGACTGGCAAACAGAAAGTTGCACTGGGCAAGAAATCTCTATTTGCAGGGAACTCGTATCTATGTCCTTAACCCTGGGCCTCACTCAAATTGTACAATCTCCAACTCGCCATTACGCTCTCCTAGACCTCGTTTTCCCGAGTTCTCATTTAGTTCAAACAGCATTTCAGTGTGACGTCATTGATGGCATTCTGACCACAAAGCTGTGCACATATCGCTTCCATCCCGTCTAATTAAACAGCAGCTTAGCGTTACGCAGTTTCATGATTTCGTTCATGCTGATGACGCCTCTATCGCAGATGTGTTAACTTCGAACTTTGATTCTTTTCAGGCACTTTGTAGTCATGGTCATGTTGACACTTTAGTTAGCGCATTTGAGCATGTCGTGAAGTCATGCATTGATCAATTCGTTCCTCTCAAGACCAAAAAAGGAAATCTGCAGATTCCTTGGATGAATCGCAGCTTGCTGCAAACTTCACGTCGCGTTCGTCGTCTGCACCAATTGAAAAAGACAGGTAATCCAGACGTTGTCAGTCGCTTTAACACTGCTGTGATAGATCTGCGTAAACAAATGGAATGTCCTAGGAATTTTTATTTCCAAATTGAACTTCCAGCATTATTAAAATCTAACCCGCGCAAATTCTGGTCTTCTATTAACCCCGCTAGAACCGATACAGTTTCCTTTATATTAGACAGCAAGGCAGTTTCAGACCCCATTAAGATAGCCAATGCGTTCAATACCTATTTTCAGTCAGTATTCACGAACGACAATAATGCTCTCCCTTCGCTTAGAACTTCAAATCCAGAGCTGTCCGTCGACGATCTGGTAATTAGCACAGATGGTATCCTAAACTTGGTTCTCAATTTAGATACGAAGAAGTGCACTGGCCCCGATAATATTCCGTATAGCTTTCTGGTGCGATATGCTCTGTGGTGTTCACGTTATTTGACCATCATTTTTAACAAATCTTTGTCTTCAAGTACAGTTCCCGAGTCCTGGAAGTTAGCCAAGGTCGTGCCTCAGCATAAATCAGGAAACAGACAACTCCTCTCCAACTATAGACCCATATCACTTACCTCCAATTCTGGAAAGCTGCTCGAACACATCATTCATAAACACATATCTGAGTTTCTTGAAACAAATAATCTTCTGTCCTACACACAACATGGATTTCGTTGCGGCTTCAGCACAACAACGCAACTGGTGGAATTTTCGCATGATATTATTAGTAATTTAGACATTGGTAATCAAATTGATGCATTATTTATAGATTTCTCGAAGGCTTTCGACACCGTCATACACAGCAAGCTTCAAGGTAAACTACAGGTAATTTTAAATAATCCTCAATTGATTGACTGGTTAGCAAGCTTTCTAAACTCGCGCTCTCGATTCGTCTCATTCAATTCCAAGTCTTCCTCAGCCGTATAAGTCGCATCTGGTGTCCCCCAGGGCTCCGTTTTCGGTCCATTTTTATTTCTGATTTTTATAAATGACCTTCCCAGCAATATTAGGTCCCAAGTTCGCCTGTACGCCGACGACTGTGTAATTTACCCGGTAATTAGTTCTCCTAATGATCATGCCCTACTTCAGGATTCTTTCTCGCAGTTTTGTTCTTGGTGCTCGGACTGGCAGATACGCATAAATTTCCAAAAAACAGTAGTTTTGTCCTTTACTAACAGCCATTCACCATCGCGATACGCATACTCCTTCAACAACATCGCAGTTCCTCGAGCACAGACGTACAAACACCTTGGCGTTATGCTCACACACAACATGCAATGGTCGCATCATATAGACTACATTACGTCTAAAGCATTAAAAAAGTTAGGTTACTTAAGACATACATCATCTGAATCGCCAAAATCGACCAAACTACTAATGTACAAAACACTCATACGCCCTATATTAGAGTACGCTTCGTGTGTGTGGAATCCATACAAAGTGGGTGACGTGAATAAAATTGAATCTGTCCAAAGGAAGTCTGTTCGCTTCATTTTTCATCGCTATGACCATAATTTTTCGCCCTCATCTGCAATGAAATCTTTGAAGTTATCTCCAATGTGCGCTAGGCGTGATATTGATTCTTTGAAACTTTTGCACTTTTATGTTCACTCATCATGCCGGCTTTCTAATGATAATTACATCGTGTATGCTAATGCTCTGCCAACTAGACGTGGTCACAATCTTAATAAAAGGCCATTCTTCGCACGTACTATGTTCAAATACAGTTTCTTTCCGAAAATTATTGTCTACTGGAACGAACTACCAGGTTCGGTTCGTGAAATGAATATGTCAGATTTTTTGGAGGCACTGGAATGACATTGTTGTCTTTTTTTTACCCGGTTGTGCTTAGAATGTGGCGAAAATTGTTGTGATTTGTTCTGATGAACTTGTTTTGATGTTACTCATATTCTTTCCTATTGTATGTACCCCACTCCTGCAATAGCCCTGCATTGGGCTGCAGTATTTGAAAATAAATAAATAAAACGATTTGGGGCGGCACGCTATAGCTTATCTTGTTGACCATCTGTACCGAGTGCTTGGCCGGGGATTGAGCATGTTCATGGTGATATTTTTCATCTGCGCTACAGGGCGAACTTTGACGATAAGAGCTCTGCTTATACAATGAAATAATTCAAAACAACTTTTGGCATTGGGGTGTTGACACTTCCGGCGAGGCTTGTGCCAGCTCTCCGGCTGACTCCCTTGAGGAACTCGAAAGGTTTTTGAAGCTAGCTGTCCGATTTTGCAGAGGCAGTTTGTGGTGGGATAGAAGCTACTGTGTCCATCGATGATGATATTGAGGCTATGTGAGAGCTGGCCAGTGAAGATGCCCTTGCTGGTCTGACCAGATTTGTCCTTTGCCAGTGGCAGTAGTGAGGACTCAATGTGTTACGATGCGCCCATGCATTCCAATCCACTTCGTGCGCTCAAATTTCTCCCACTTCTACTGCGTGTCAATACGAGACAGCAGTGTCAGCTCTTCTGAGTCTCTTGACAGGGTTGAAAGATGCTCGCTTCACGTTGCTTTGAAAATGAAGAAATATTTGGGGAGAAGGTTGCATAGAAGGGAGGGAACAGAAAAAAGGGACAATGGAAAACTATATTTATTGCTTATTGGCCTCCGCTGCATTCTTTCAGAATGCAAGAATGCTTCTTGATGAGATGCATTTTACAAATTGGTACATGCTCTTCCAAACTGTTATAATAAAGCGTACGAATTTATTGAGGTAATTGCTGTTTCTTCTATTGCATTGAGATAAATGCCTCGGTTTTACTGTAGTGCCACCGATTAAAAACCAACTCAACCAAAGTGAAACTCCATCACAGTTGGCCCTTCCATGTCCTGGCGCTCTTTGGCCATCAAAGGGCCCTTGTGTCATAAAACGCCATATATGTATCATCATTAGCAATTGGCCCTTCAGACAAGCTGTTCAGAAAAAAACTTGTTAATTCCTATTATCGATTCTAAAATGATTTTCAGAGCCCGTATTTGTCACTACACTTCATATATAACCTACAGCCGTAACTTCAGCTCTACGGGGGGGGGGGGGGGGGGGGAGTAAAAACTAATGTAACCAGCATCCCTCAATTTTCAAGCTCATTTTATTTGTTTTGTGGGGAAGGGGGTATAGATTATACAAGTGAAAGTACAGCATTTAATGCACAAGTTAATTTTGGGGGAGAAGCAATTACTTGCTTTGCCTTTGCCTGACTCAATAACATGGGGAACCTTTTTAATTTGTCGAATAATTGATACAGCAATCAACAGTAACAAATAACGTTGCGAGGCACGTGGGGCATTAAGACAACCTGCAAACGCAGATCCCGTTGGCCAGGAACAAACGGATCCAGGTGAACCCGCACGGCATTTCAGTGACGACGGCCAACCAGTTTGTGTCGGTAAGCAGCACTCGTGCACAGCCCAGTCAGCTCCCGCTTCACAGTTGATTCGCCATTTTGCACAAGTTGATATGTCTGCTGCGTAGGTAAAATTGACAGATGTAATGGGCCTGAAGCCTTGTCACGCAAGAGATTGTTGTTTTTTAGACTCACTGGCCTCTGGTTAAAATCTAATGCTGCAAAGGTGATACCTGTGATCCAGCCGGTAGCAGCAGACATGTGGTAGTCGCATGCTAAACGTGGCACACGTTTGGGGGCAAAAAAAAAACGCAAGACACCACACACAAAAAGCGTTTGCAGGGGACCTTGTGTATTTTTCTTGTGTTTTGTGTTTTTTCTTGCACTGAGAAATTTTTTTTTATGAGAGTGCACCAACCATGCCCTCTAAAGGTTCTTTTAAAGTTAGTCATAATCATTTTTTTGTTTGTTCATTTGCGTAAGAAGTACAAAAGTCGAAGGAATATTGAGGGTCATAAAGTTCTGTGGGATCGTGAATGTTTCGTATGTGGACTGGGCATAGTTGTTTTTTTTGGGTGCTAAACACATTGATGTCTCAGCGAGTAGCCACACAGGAATGTGGAACATCAGAAAAGGCTTTACTGTTTGTTGTTTCGCACTAAAGGAACATTCAAGGAAAAGGGAAAGCTTCCTGTGGATGACGGGCACAGCCACGCCCGACATCATTTCTCGCTCAACATTCGTTCCTTCCTTGCGAATGACTCCAGGGCTCAGAGGGTCCTTGGCACCCTTGAAAACACTGGACGTGTAGAACTGCAGATTCGAGACCTTGAAAACCCTGAAATTTCTCAATGTCCCTGATTGGCCTTGAATTTCATCTATGCAGTTTTGTTCAGCCAGTTTTCAGCAGTTGCTTTTCAAACAAGGCTGTGCGAATATTTGAGTGCACATTACAGTGGCTGAGTTTACTTGGACAGTAGTGTGGAATTTGTAAGCACTTGAAGCGAACGAATAAACAAATCTGCCGCATGTAACCTGCCCTGAAGATGCTTTCACTGCAGCACATGGGAGCAGTGCTGTGAAACCACTTTTTCAAAGAAAATTCGCTCCAAGAAAATATGCTTCTGCACTTCAGTCATTTTCCACCGCGTCTTATAAGGGCATAGTATGAGCAATTTTAAAGCTTATCGTATTTCACTTGGTGTAACAAGCATTTTACTGCTTTTCAAACTCTTATCAAAATATACTGTTTACCAATTGCTTTGAACTACGATTTTGTTGGCACAAGCCTACTTTTTGAACACGTGTAACAAGAGCTTGATATTGTGGGGATGTGGAGGGCGTCTCAATCCTTTGTAAATGTGTGCTTGTGTGGTGTGTTTGTAACTGGTGCGTGTTTGTGCACGTGCGATATGTCCATATTGCAAGGGGAATCGGTTTAGGCAAACCAGCAAAACAATACTGAAAGGGGATGGGAGAGAGTAAAGCATAACCCGCCATGGCGGTCTAGTGGCCCAGACACTCTGCTGCTGATCTGCAGGTCAAGGAATCGGATACCAGCCGTGGCAGCCGCATTTTCGATGGAGACAAAAATGCTCGAGGCCCGTGTGCTTGGATTGAGGTGCGCATTAAAAAAACCCCGTTGGTCGAAATTTTTGGAGCCCTCCACTACGGCGTCTCTCGTAATCGTATCGTGGTTTTGGGACGTTTAACTCAAAGAATTATCATATTATGAGAGTAAAGCGTTGTACAGGAAGAACGAAAAAGATGCAAGTAGAAAGAAAGGATTGCAGGAAGAAAAAGAAAGAGAGTGAGAACATGAACATAAGAAAGAAGTAGAGGGAGACTGAGAAGAGAGAAATAGAAAGGAAGAACAAAAAAGCATTGCGTCAGCTAGTGGCGAGATACCGCACCACCCAGTCGAGCTATGCACACCGATAGGCCTACCCTTCACTATGTAGTGCATAGCCTGGCTGAGCACGACTGTGCCGAGACAGCCATGGGGCGTCCTAAGAAAGTGCGTACTCCTGATGAGAAGGCTGCGAATCTGAAAACTAGACATGTCGGTTGGTGGAAAGTACAAGCTGCGAAGGGCCTGCGCTTCATTGGGTCATGCTTCGTGCAACTTGGCGGACACTGCCCGCATTTTTTTCCTTGATTCTTTTTTTGTCGAATTCGGGCGTTTATGTATATTTACGTGCTAATTTCAAGCATACAATGTATTTTCTTGTATAACGTGCAGTTTTTGGTAATACAAAATATTTCATGTGCCAAACTGAGTTAACAAGTAAACTAGCATACCAAAATAATCAGGAATCATAGCTGCGTGCAGTCCAATAAAAAATGTATGTTCTGTACTCGTTAAAACAAAATTTATGGTAAGCTGAACATTTGCTAGTGAAATCCCACCTCTAAACTTACTGTTTCATGAATGTTCAACCTATAATTTTTGTTTTAATGAGTTTAAAACATCCAATGTCTTGCGATGCACGCGAATCTGGTTATAAAATATTGTGATATAGTGGTTTACTTTGTAACTGTCTGAGTTTATAAAAAGCTTTGCTTTTTAAAAAGCATGTGAAATACTATGCTTTGCAAGAACTACACATTATATTACAAAATAATTGCATATTAGCACACCAAGTTTTGTCAAAATCAATGAAGAAATTAAAAAAAAAAGAGTACTGTCCACTCTTGCGTTTGTACGCATCGTAGAGTACATTTCATGCTGTTTGCCTGCGTCTTCATCAGTGCATCACCCGCTGCAGTGGTTAAGTGCTTACGGTACTCGACTGCTGACCTGATGCCTATCAAATCCCAGCCACGGCGGCCGCATTTTCAATGAAGATGAAAATGCACAAGATCTGTGTGCTTGGATTTAGGTGCACTTGGGTTGTTGAAATTTCCGGAGGCCTCCACTAAGTGTCCCTCGTAAACATGTTTTGTTTTCGGGACGTTAAGTCCCAACAATTATTGTTATATTTTTGGTGCACGCTACAGACCCAGCGGGGCCTGTTTGGGGGCCGTGCCAGCCTGTTGGAGGAGGAGGACGACGACCTCGAGCGGCTTACCCTGGACAACGTCCTCGGAAGGTCGCCTTTCCGAGCTGCCACAGCGGCTGTGGCGGCAGCCACGGCTGCAGCGCTCTCAAGGTCTCCCAGGGCAACGGTGAGTCTATGCACTGTCTTCTGTGTTTGTGACTACCATCAATCAGGTGTGTGAGTAGGAATGTGGCGAGTAGGAGTGTGGCGAGTAGGAATGTGCGAATAATCAAGATTTTCTAATAACAAACAGAATGGTGTTCTATTCGTTATAGTACTCAAAGCTTACTGCACTTCACACAATTGCACCATTTATTTTTGTTGTTTATAGAATCGTAGTGTTCCTTTTTTTAAAGCTTCTGAATATTTGTTTTCAAATAAAATTTTGTGAGATTCTGTTGCTTTTTTGAGGAGGGTTACCTTACGATATAAAAAAGCATTCCAAGGAGTACAGTCAAACTCGCAAATAATGAATTATTGTGTGTACCAAAAAGCTGTAAAATGCTGTTGGGATATTTTCGATATATTAAGTGCAGTCGAGCCCGCTTATAACGAACCTGAGAATGGCGCGGCATCCCTTCGCTGTATCCTGAAGTTCGTTGTAAATGAAACATGGTTTTTAAAAAGTTGCGAGTGAAAACACAAACTTTTCTGCCCGAAAAAGTCCGTGATGCACGTGTTTCGAAGAGCAGAAGTGATAAGGGCAGTCTCGAGTTCATTTAAAACGGCAGGGGACTCGTTCGCCGAGGTCCGTGGCATAAGCTGCATGAGGCACTGGCTCCAAAGTTTCGCCGTTCTCACAGTCCGATTCCTCCCAATCGCTCTCGCCACGTACTTTATTCATAATACCCTAATTCTTGCACGGTTCCGCAGTGTCGGTATCATCATTGGCCGTAATTAAACCATCGCTACAGATGTCCCACCCGCTCTTCTGGTTGGAGTCGACGAGGCGCTACCACAAATCGCTGCCGGAGCGATCCTGTTCGGAAGCTTTAGGCTCGGCATCGGGCCTGACCTCGACGAAGTCGGCCTCGTGAAGATAGTTCCGCGCATGTAGTCGTCACCACTGCCCACGAAATTTTCACCATCTCCAAAGCCGAATACCGGGACTCCCGAAGCGGCAAGTTCGCTGCCAGGTGGTCAGCAGCTATGAGCGAGCAAGCGCTCCGCAACCCGGCACCTAATGCCCGGATTACGCTCAAGCCAAGCAGTAACACTTTTGACATTTTGTTGAGCAGCAGGAAAAAGCGTGCAAGTCCTCCAGTGTGCCATCCTGACCACACACGCACACCAAGAGTGAGCCAGACGTGCACACGCGACACACATGCCAGAACGCGTGGAACAGCTCTGGGCCCGCTTCCAGTCAGAAAACAAAACTAATTCGAGCTAGCGTGGCGGGCGTCGCGGAGCGGTGGAGGTGGGCGAAGGGGTTGTGATCAAGAGAGGAAAGCAGACTTGTGAGAGAAGGGCAAGGAGTTGCGATAAAGAGAGGGGAGGATGCAGCAGGAGGGCAACCTTGAAAACCAAAACACATGGGAAGGAGGCAGGTGGGGCAGCTTGCTTGAAAGGTCTGCGAAACGTACAACTCGCACGTAGAGAAACTCGAAAGTGTACCTGCACACGCAGAAGTCAAAGCACGGTCGCCTGAATCGGTGCGCGCGGCAGTGTTTAAGGAATCGGCGGTCATGGTCTAAAAACATTTTGTTGCGCCGGCAGGTTTGCATGGCCTCACCAACTTCGATATTTCACGATTCGTTCCGTGCAAATTAACAGCTATTTTTACGCTTCCGCACGCGTGCAGAGGGCATGTTGAGCTGAGTGCGAAGAGAACGAGAACAAGTCCTAAACACGAAACGAATCGCAAATATCAAAGTCGGCGGGGTAGCATAAGCACGTGCACTAGACTCGGATGATCCGATACAGTCGGTGGCTGATGATATTTGGCAAATGGTCCGGTCGCTGTAGGCTGCCGATGCCAACGATCAAAAACAGCGATCAAAAACAGGGTTGATGGCCAAAGATAGGTGGCGGTGTGAAAAAGCAGGTCTCGTCTGGCGATGCAGGGTGCTCAGAGAAGCGGGGGGGACAAAGGACGGGGTGGTGGGTAACAAAAAGCAGTCGGGAAGAGCAGCAACTAGAAGGGCGCGGAGGCGTTTAACAATAAGAATGTATAGGCACCTCCCCGATGCCTGATCTGGTTTCCAGGGAACTTGGCAGAGCGCCTACTCCGTTCGCTGTAACCGATCAGCGGCGCTCGGAGACGTTCGTTGTAAGTGCGATTTTATGCCATTGAACCAATGTATATTTTGGCGGTCACGCAGATATTGTTTTTTTTTAAGCGAAAGTTTGTTTTAAGTGGGGCAGTTATCTGTGGGCTCGACTGTACATACCTGCCAAGTCTCCCCGATTGTCCGGGAGAGTCCCGGATTTCGACTGTTTTTTCAATTTGTACGGTTCTCATGAAAATTTCCCGCAAATCGAAATTTCTGTATGTGATCTGGCCGCATTGACAAAAGTACAGGTCTATCTGCTCCAGGCTTTTTGCGAACGCACCGCATTTTATTATAAAAGAATTTAGGAGGCGGCCATGTAAACGTAGTCGAATCTCAATGATGTGAAACTGCAGCAGGTACGAACTCATGAATTTCCCCAGTGAAATTTCACTGTGCTCATTGGGCTGAAATTCGAATGTTTCGACACTCTTCGTTATCACGGCACATGATGTGAACTTTAGTGCCGAAACCATCAAACGAAGGCCAACAGCAGCGCGCTCGAAGCTTTGGAAGTACCCATGCAACCAGCACACGCACATTTTTCTGCAATGCGCGTGGTTGTGGTTGCCACCATTGCTGTCGACGAAACCGCGGTCGTTGTTGACACTATAAGCGTCCTGTGACACGATTATGTATGGAGTGTGGGTGGGTCCATCTAGCAGATGCGATCATCAATAGCATAAAACAATTTAGTTTTGAAGGTGCGGGTTAGAAACGGAACTACCGTTTGCCGCAACTGTCACGCGCGATACCGCGGTTGTGACAACGCAATAGCGAGCAACGAGAACAGAGGGCACGCAGATAATGCAGCGGTAGATTAAAGGGAATTAAGGTGTTAAAAAAAAAAAGGCTAGAAGCGTTTCGGCGTTCCGGTCAAAAAAATCTAGTAGCGAGCAAAGCATTGACCCGCACTTTCGTGGCAGGCAACTGCGCCATCCCGTACATTCCTGCGTGTCCCAGGAGAACACACATGAGTAGTTTTGACGGAAACCGATTTTGCTTGTTGTTTTGATGACGCCAAATTTCGGGAGTATTCTCGTTGCCGCTTTCAGACTTTCATCGTAGTGGGAAACCCTACCCTCGTGTGTATAGCGGCCACTCCAAGACATTAAATTACCTCAACTAGAGTGGCTCATTCTAGCCACCCTATCTCAACGCCGATGTTTACACTTTTGATTGGGACCTCCTCCTCCCCCCCCCCCCCCTTGTTTTCATGATGTTTTTTTTTTGTTGCCCCCCCCCCCCCCCCCAAAAAAAAAGGGGGAAAATAATTCAGCGTTGCACCCCTCCCCCCTGTTACGGAAATCTCCCGGATTCAGAATCTCTGAATTTGGCAGGTATGCAAGCATCTTACACATCAAATTCATCATCATCATCAGCCTGACTACGTCCACTGCAGGACAAAGGCCTCTCCCATGTTCCGCCAGTCAACTCGGTCCTGTGCTTGCTGCTGCCAATTTATACCCGCAAACTTCTTATTCTCATCTGCCCACCTAACCTTCTGTCTCCCCCTAAGCCGCTTGCCTTCTCTGGGAATCCAGTTAGTTACCCTTAATGACCAGCGGTTATCCTGTCTACGCGCTACATGCCCGGCCCATGTTCATTTCCTCTTCTTAATTTCAACTATGATATCCTTAACCCCAGTTTTTTCCCTAATCCACTCTGCTCTCTTCTTGTCTCTTAGAGTTACACCTGCCATTTTCCTTTCCACTGCTCGCTGCGTCGTCCTCAATTTAAGCTGCCCCGCCACGGTGCTCTAGTGGCTAAGGTACTAGGCTGCTGACCCGCAGGTCGCGGGTTCCAATCCCGGCTGCGGCGGCTGCATTTCCGATGGAGGTGAAAATGTTGTAGGCTCGTGTGGTCAGATTTGGCTGCACGTTAAAGAACCTTAGGTGGTCGAAATTTCCGGAGCCCTCCACTACGGCGTCTCTCATAATCATATGGTGGTTTTGGGACGTTAAACCCCACATATCTATCAATCAATCAATCAATCCTCAATTTAATCTGAATCCACTTTGTAAGTCTCCAGGTTTCTGCTCCGTAGCTAAGCACCGGCAAGATCCAGCTGTTATATACCTTTCTCTTGAGGGATAATGGCAATTTACCTGTCATGATTTAAGAGTACTTGCCAAATGTGCTCCATCCCATTCTTATTCTCCTAGTTACTTCAATCTCGTGGTTCGGCTCCGCGGTGTAGCTCAGTGGTATAATACTGGGCTGGCACCCAGCGGACCCGGGTTCGAGCCCCACTGTGTCATTGGTCATGCCTGCGTAAGGCAAGTTTAACAAGTTATAAGCCCCGGCGTAACTCAGTAGTAATATATTTGGCTGGCATGCAGCAGACCCAGGTTCAAGCCCCACTGTCTCATTAGTGCAAGATACATCAAATTATCTATAGTATTGTTACGTGAAGGAGACTGACTCAGAGGGGTAGTCACCGATGTATTTACAGACGGTTAGGCGAGCAGCGCCAGCCACACAGATTAGCTCGTGCCAGTCTATCTGCTTCGTCTTCTTCAGCTCCATGCACTGGCACGTAGCATGACCCCCGGCGGCGGAGGCACCGTCCCGGTGCTTTAAAGGTCGTTATCTGACGCATTATTGTAGGGCTTGATCCGCGAGACGTGTACGATATCACTGGGCCGCATAGTAGATGATGATGGGCAGATGGGGCTGATCTCGTAGGTGACAGATGTTACTTGACGCAATATACGATAGGGTCCCGTGTAATGAGACAGAAGTTTTTCGGATAAGCCCAGCCGACGATGAGGGGACCAGAGTAAAACGAGGGTACCGGGAGCGAAATGTACGTCTCTATGTTCCGCATCGTACCGACGGCATTGGTTGGTTTGCGACGCCATCAGCCGAGCGCGAGCGAGCTGACGGGCATGATCGGCTCGCGCAATCGCGTCGCGGGCATACTCGCTGGTGGACGAGGTGTGAGCTGAGATGACTGTGTCCAGTGGTAAAGTCTGCTCTCTTCCGTACAATAAGTAGAACGGCGAAAAGCCCGCTGTATCGTGACGGGATGAATTATACGCGAAAGTTGCGTAGGGTAAGGCAAGGTCCCAGTCTCGGTGGTCGGGCGACACGTACATAGCGAGCATATTTGTTAAAGTGCGGATAAATCGTTCCGTAAGGCCGTTTGTTTGAGGGTGGTAAGCGGTTGTCAGTGTGTGTTGCGTCGAACAAGAACGCAGAATGTCGGCGATGACTTGGGATAAAAATGTACGGCCACGGTCTGTGAGAAGCTGTCTCGGCGCACCGTGAATCAATATAACGTCCCGTAACAAGAAGTCAGCGACGTCGGTTGCACAGCTGGTCGGTAGAGCTCGCGTAATAGCGTAGCGTGTAGCGTAGTCTGTGATAACGGCTATCCATTTGTTTCCCAATGTTGATGTGGGGAAAGGACCAAGCAGGTCTAACCCAACACGGTAAAATGGTTCCGCGGGTATGTCAATTGGTTGAAGATGGCCAGCGGGTAGCAGCGATGGTGTCTTACGACGTTGGCATAGGTCACATGTGGCGACGTATCGGCGTACCGAACGAGCAAGGCCTGGCCAGAAAAAACGGCGCCGGACGCGCTCGTACGTGCGGGATACGCCAAGGTGTCCAGCCGTGGGAGCGTCGTGAAGTTCGGTGAGAACACAGCGGCGCAAATGCTTAGGCACAACAATGAGAAGGTCGGGCCCGTCTAGTCGGAAATTGCGACGGTATAGCACACCCTTTTGAATGACAAAGTAGCGGACGGAAGCATCATTTGTGGAGGATTCCATACGGCTGATGATGTCAAGCAGCTCTGGATCACGCTTCTGTTCTTCCCCAATATTAAGGAAGTCGGACACTGACAAGATAGAGTTCTCCGTGGGCTCGTCAGTGTCCTCAGGATCGTCGACAGGGTACCGGGAGAGGCAATCGGCATCACGGTGTAGGTGGCCAGATTTGTAGACCACCGAATAGGAAAACTCTTGCAGGCGCAAAGCCCAGCGACCAAGGCGGCCTGATGGATCTTTCAGAGAGTTCAGCCAGCAGAGTGCGTGGTGGTCGGTAACTACCGAAAATGGGCGTCCGTATAGATAAGGTCGAAATTTCGCCACCGCCCATACAAGAGCCAAGCACTCACGCTCTGTTATCGAATAGTTACGTTCAGGGGCGGATAGGAGGCGGCTGGCATATGCAATAACGCAATCATGGCCATGTTGTTTCTGAGCCAGCACTGCACCAATGCCATGCCCACTTGCATCTGTACGGATTTCCGTAGGGGCAGCAGGGTTGAAGTGTGCCAGAATCGGAGGGGTAGTGAGAAGAGCGACGAGAGTCGAGAACGCAGAAGCCTCTTCGGAGTCCCATGAAAACGGGACTTCTTTCTTGAGGAGCTGCGTAAGCGGCCTCGCTATGTGCGCAAAATTTTTCACGAAGCGTCGGAAGTAGGAGCATAGTCCGATAAAGCTGCGTACATCCTTCGCAGATCGTGGTACAGGAAAGTTTTTGACGGCGCTGATTTTTGCCGGGTCTGGTTGTACACCGTTGGCGTCTACTAAATGGCCAAGCACTGTGTGATTTGATGGCGTCCAAAGTGACATTTGGACGAGTTGAGCTGCAGGCCAGCGCGACGGAAGATTCCCAGGATGGCTGAGAGGCGCTCTATGTGAGTTTCAAACGTTGGTGAAAAGACGATGACGTCGTCCAAGTAGCACAAACATGTGGACCATTTAAATCCTCTGAGCAGGGAGTCCATCATTCGTTCGAAGGTGGCTGGAGCGTTACAAAGGCCGAAGGGCATGACCTTGAACTGATATAGGCCATCGGGGGTGATGAATGCCGTCTTTTCACGGTCCATTTCATCTACCTCTATCTGCCAGTAGCCGGAACGAAGGTCTATGGAGGAAAAATAGTGGGACCCATAGAGGCAATCAAGCGCATCATCTATTCGTGGCAGAGGGTAGACGTCTTTTTTGGTAATTTTGTTTAGGTGTCGATAATCTACACAGAAACGCCATGCACCGTCTTTCTTGCGGACTAGCACTACAGGAGAAGCCCAAGGACTGCAAGATGGCTCAATGATGTCCTTGGCGAGCATTTTGTCGACCTCACTTTGGATGATGTGACGCTCGGCCGCCGACACCCGATATGGGCGCCTATGAATAGGATGCTCATTACCAGTGTTTATGCGGTGGCTCATACCGGTAGCTTTCCCCAACGGACGGCCGCTGATGTCGAATACGTCGATGTAGGACAGCAGAACCCGGTGGAGCTCATCAGTCTGCTGCGGTGTTAAGTTGGAAGCGATCATCGAAGTAACAGCGCTGTCGGAGCAAGTGGCAGACTGATGTTGAGCGTGGGGTTCAGAAGGGGCGGCCATCGCGAAAAGATCTGCCGCATTGTCTTCTAAGGTGCAGAGCAACGCTAAAGAGATCCCTTGCGGCAAAACTTGAGGTGTCAAGCTAAAGTTGACAACTGGGAGGCACGTAGAATTTCCTGCGACGGACAGAATGGTGTGCGGTAATGTAATGCCACGGCTTATGAGAACATCGGTGATAGGGGTCAGAACATAGTCACCGTCGGGAACTGGTGGTATTGAGACGAGGTCTATGTAGGTCAATGTCTGTGGAGGGAGGCGCGCGTGTCCCGCTGTGCAGAGGCGACTCGGCCGTTGTGTAAGAGGTTCTGTTGCGGGCAAGTGTAGACGGAGCGTACTGGTCGAACAGTCTATGAGGGCAGAATGCGCGGATAGGAAGTCGAGGCCTAAGATTACGTCGTGGGGGCATTTATCAAGGACGGTGAAGAGAACAACTGTGTGTCGATCCGCAATGCGACTTGTTTGCGATATTCTTCTCATTCGACATATGTGAGTTCGACCGTGTTCAGTTCGGTGTCATTTCTATTTACACAACCATAGTGTTGATTGAAACTTAGTCACTAGACTCAAAACATGATTAGCAGTTCTTTGTAACATACTTTTTTCTTTCTTAATGCTTGTTCAGTCCCTGAATGGTTTCTGCAAAGGTTGGGATTACGTGTCTCCCAACTGTTGTGTTCATTGGTGCAGTCTTCGCTCAGCCGAATTCAGCACAGGCTCGATGGCGGGGGACTGACGTCACCAGCGGCTCGTTCAACATCGGACCCAATGCCGGGGTGCTCGGTGCTTGTCGCCAACCTTCACCCTCAGGTCACCGAGAGTGATATTCGGGTGAGTCGGTGGCAGTCCTCGCTGTTGTGAATTCACGAACGCATGCCGCATTGTGTGGCTGCTTTGACTCAACTTTTCTTGTCCGTTGATGCGTAAGCTGCCAATGCTGGATATTGTTACGGGGAGAAGAGGGGCCTTGCCAAATGTATTTGCAATGTATGTGCAGCCTAAACAGAAAAAGATTGGCACAAGCCGGAGCGGCAGGGTTGCGACACGAGGTATCGTTTTTTCCCAAGCAGGCCGATGAAGGTGCCGGGCACACTGCATTCTCATAAGCAGGGGGGTGGCCAGTAGAAATCACTCCAATAAGCAGCTTTTTCTGGACAACTGTGATAACGATACGGGCTTACAACTCTGGTGAATGAAAGAAAAAAAATCATGTGCATATTCGCATCAAATGTGACAAGAATAAACGAGGTGAAGCCCAAACGTCGTCGTAGCTCTTGTTAATTACCCACTCGTTTCAGCATAGAAGTGACGTAATTTCAGTACCATTAAATTGTGTGGGCACCTTCTGCCTGCATCGAATGCTGCTGAAATCGACTGAACCGTATTTGAATGAACAGAAGGTCGCTCAATTTGCACAAGCTTTGTTCGACTGGATGTACAGTATTTGTTCAGTGGGATGAATCGAATCTCTCCCCCTTTTCTTTTCCCCTTCGCCTTCTTTGTGTGCAGGATTTGTTCCAGTACATAGGGCCCATGCACGATGCCAGGATGGTAGCCGTAGGAACAGCCCTGGCTACCTTTCACCGCCAGTCCGATGCCATGAAGGCGTTCAAGGCCTACAATGGGAGAATGCTCGATGGTAAGCTATTGAAATCTAACAGGCAAATATGCCAAGGAAAGAATATGGGATGTTATTAAAGTAATTGTAATGCAAATGTGAAGAAAGAAAAGCGGACGAAAAGATAACTAGCCGTGGGCAGGGATCGAAGCTGCGATTTTCGAATAACGAAAATCGCAGCGCGCCTCACTTAGTGCGCGGCGACGGCGTGGTCTCTCTCGAAACTTCGGCAGCGGCGGTGCACAGCTCTAGCCTCCGCCTCCCCTCCTGCCAATGGCATCACCATTTCATCGGGCCATCACGGCCGACTGCCTTTGCACCACGCTCATGAGAAGAATCGAGTGTATTACAAAGCGGCCGCAATGCCATTGGCTGGAAGGGGGTCCTTTGACCGCGAAAATCTACACTGCTTGTGGCTTGTAGCCCAGTATAGTCCGACCACTGTTTTCGTTTACAAAAGCAAACGTTTGGGTGAATTGGTATGGGTAAGAAGCACCGCATTGTCTCACACAGAGAAAATGGAATGAGACGAATGCATTGCGCCCTCTCTTGCAGCCTGGATTGCAGCGAACCGAGCTTATTCTGGATACGGGGCATGCACTATCACTCAGCATTAGAAGCCATTAGCCTCTGGTTCTGCCTGAATGCTGTGGATACTTTTCGTGCAGGTCAGCCTATGAACCTGACTGTGCTGACGCTGGACTTCTTGCAGTCCAACCAGAGGTGATGGACTGGGCCAGTGACGGAAGAGACGTCATCCGTACACATAAGCCACACAAGGCCCGCTCCTCACTTGCTAGTAACATCGTTCATTTTGTTCCATTCAGCCGTTTAACTTCCCTGTCAAAATTGCTTTTGAAGATGCAAGACCCCTTCTTCACGTGTTGATCAGTCCAATACTTTGGTAATCGTACTAGCTTTTGCTCCCCAAACCCCATCCCTCTGTTTTTTTTCTCTCGATATTTCACGTTCTGATGTTGTTCTTAGTGCGCGCACACCCTATGAATAAGAGTGCGTGGATAAGCAAGGGTGTAAAGGTGTCGGCTTTCAACAAATTTTTAAGCTGCTTGAACATGTTGAAACCAGTTTTAAGACTTCTCGGAAGTCGGCGCCTTTTCACCATTTCTGCCCCCCTCTTTTTTTATATATTTTATTTTATGCGTGTGCTGTGGACGGCGTCAAAACGCAATATCATTGACCCACCCCAGTTTCAAACCTCGCTACTATATTTCGCACTTCGAACCAGTGTGCCTCGCGTACAAAGACCGAAATGTGGAAAATCGGCCAAGGCTCCTGTCGCATTTCACCTTGGCACCTGGGAGAGAGCTGAGGAAATAAAGAGCACAACCTTGATCAATGGTCATGCTTTGTTTTTTATTCCTTTGGGGACAACACAGATGTCTGAGCCTATTTGAATGGTGGCAAAAATGCATCTCTGATTCAGGTAAGTGTGTGCCACATTCGTAAATGATCACTTCGATAGACAGTGTCGCATGGCATGTCATGTATTCTCGCTTGGCTAATGATTGAAGCAATTCATGCCCGCTCTTTCTAAACTAGCCAGTCAGCGCGCACAGAAATTTGCCAAAAGCGGAACTCATCAGAATGCTGGCCGGTTTGACTCCCGACCGCATTTTGGATGCAGGCAGTGTGCACTAACACGTTTGATTCGCGATAGCGAAGACATGGTGGTCAATCTTGTGCATCCAATTACGGCATACCCGGTATTTATGCCTTGGTTTGGCTCTTAAAACCGCAGGACTTATTTTGCGCATTATTCTGATGGCTATTAAGAAGTAGTCATTCCAACAATGGGCTAAACGGGTCAGTGCTTTGTCGGCTGCGCTAGGCATAGGCCTGCAATCCACTGCAGTTGTCTGTGGAATATTTTGATCATTTTCTTTTGCACTTATTTGGCAAAATGACCGCGCCCTCACAACGCTAATATTTCGAGCGCTAGCGCTACGAAAAATAGTGCTGCCGCTTGGCACCGCACAATTTGCAACAAGTATAGTTTTGCCAAAACACACGTTGGGACAGCGTATATCGGTTTTCGTTTGGAAGGGAATTGTTCGGTTTTTTGAAAACACTATTTTTGACAACTGTACATGACCGAGTACTACACATAGGTGTTCTGTGGTACTACATTCTGTAAACAAGCGTGTTGTTCCGCGTGTCAGTGTATTGATAAGCACAGACGCGGAGCAATTGCAACTAGCGCTGAATAACTAGTTAATTTTTAACTGTTCGCTGACTGATTGACGCTGTTCCGATCAGCAATGTCGTTCAGAGATCCCAGAGGGTAAGCGGAAACGTCTTTCGTCTTCGCCCATTCGATCGCAGTGTGCAAAATGTGGCCGCGCACTGAGCCGCACGGTCGGCGTCGTAAAATGGCTGCTCGAGCCTTCTTCCTGCCGACGATCCCTCTCGCGCTCGACTTTTCTTTCGTGATCTGTCGGATCGCAAGCGTCACGGCTCGCAAGCAGCGAATGAAATAAAAGACGTCCACCACCACCACAGACTACCCGCATTGCTGGCATTTGATGCGCAACTGGACCGGGGTGAAACGGGTTATTTTGGGTCGAGGTTCATTGGTTTGCTGTGCGAACCGGTTTTTACGTTTTTTTACGGTGCTGTGAAACACCCGAGGTTTTCACTATGCATTCCCATTGGTCAGTAATAAGCATCGCTGCTGCCCTCGGTCCCATATCCGAAGGCTACTGGCTACGTGCACAGTCTTGCAGCCGCCGAGCGCGTCGGACTACGTGAGGAGAGATAGAAAAGGAGTTAGGCCTAACTAGTTCTTTGCGCACTGGAGGACATTCGCAGGGTCAGTTGTTTTGGCTTTGCGCAGCTGTTTGCTCTTAGAGAAGCTTTGCAGTGCTTTGGGCGATTCCAGTGTTGTGCGCATTTGTGGAATCGGGGAAAATTTGCCCACAAGCTTGGCTTGATCCTGTGAGCGTCAACACTGGGATTAATGAAGACGCAACCACTCTTGCTGTGTTGAATACTGTAAACACGCATTCTGTTGTTCAAGCTGCGGAGAGGAAAGTTTTGTGTGCGGCGCCGTCACGAAAAGCAGCTGCTTCGCTTGCAGTGACATATCCTTGCGATTTGTGTTGCCACCCCAAAACCTTCGATAACCTTGTTTTTATCTGTTTCATTTGTTTTCAAGTGTAAGGGTGTTGGTACATTTCTTGTCGTGGCATATTACAGCTTCGAATCGCCGTGACGACTCTGGCGGTTTTATTCATGCGTATACAATACGCAATAAAACGATGCTAGACAACTGAAAAAGTCATGTTCTGCCGGAATTGGCTCTGACGACCTCGGCTTATGTGATGCAAGACAAGAATCCGTCGAATAGCTTCTCTAGTTTCAAATTTAGTGGTAAACTCTAATTTCAAATTTAATGAAGGACCTTCAGGCAATGGGGCAACGTACGTGTGCTACCATCTAAAGAGCAGCGTTTGCTTTCAATGTAGCTTGTTTCTGGCACATTTTCGGCGATGAAATGACCATATATATGGCTATGAAGTCGTGTGCCTGTAAATGCGAGCCATCAGATCTACATATATATTATATATGTGGTGACAGATCTAGCTGTTGGTAGAACTGCCAGCAGAATAAGCATTTTATACCCTAGAAAATGTGCTGTAACTTTGAGCTGACATTTCTTGGAGATCTGTGTATTTTTTGTGAACATTTTCAAACTATAATTTCAATATTCCCATTGATAAGGGTGTTGCTCGTGCTTTCTGCTATTTTGTAGATAAGGTGGCACTGCTTCCAAGATCGAGTATAATGCAACACCTGATAATGCATTCCACAGTGAAAATGCAGAACACGTGGATAAAAATGTTTTCTGGGATCATTACTAATGTGTTGGAACACTGGCATCCGGAAAGCAGCCAAGGACACTCAGCACAACACATTGTGTATACAAAGTATTTAGCAGAGCCTGCTACTCTTTACAATTAGTTTGCGGGCTAGAACCTCGACCACATTTTCAATGGAGCTGAAAATGCTGGAGGCCTGTGTACTTGGGTTTAGGTCCAGGTTAGGAAACTCCAGGTGGTCGAAATTTTTGGAGCCCTCCGCCATGACATTCCTCAATCATATCGTCGTTTTGGGATGTTAAACCTCAACAATATATATGATATTCACGATTAGTAATGCTCCTAAACACCAGACCATAATTATTAATATGAATAATGTATTTGGGAAGTTCATTCGAGCTTTACTTGCAGATTTCACGTCAGCAGGATTGAGGAAAGCATCTGTGGCACTAAAAAGGGGGGCAGTAAAAATGTATCCAGTGATTCATCATATAAACTAGAGTTAAGACTAGAATATATGTTAGAATGTTAATCTTACAAACAGGCACCATATTTACTTTTATAACGCAGGCGTGATATGTCTGAACTAGGGTAACCCACCTTCCTTGCCTAGTCACTGGGGTGCATTGACACTGCTGATGAGAATTTAACTACAAAACATGTTTATTTCACTTATGGCAAGAAATTTTCTCTTGCAATATTTCGTGATCTCTGAAATTAATTATTTGTTTAAGTCAAGTTTGGTACCTGTGTGAACAAAGCTATTTCATATATGTTTAATAGGCCCAAGCACAGTTATTAATATCAGCAAAAACTCGGTAGCTCGGAAAATGGTCATTCACTGGTCCTTCACTGAAACAGCTGTGGCTTATTGTCCACACTTTGTGGTTTAGGAGCCTTAGAAATACAGGACTATGCTTGTTTTACATTCTTGAAGCCATATATTTCGTCCTAGCTTCTTGGAAGTCGAACTTTTGTTGGCTGCGCCAGAAGCATTTGTCGCCGTCATGACCGAGCGGCTAGTGGCTTAATCGGAAGCTTTCATCGCTGAACTTCAGGTGCTGCCAAAGTAATAACAAAGTGAGAAATGTGTGACATTTAGAGCAGCGCCATTTAAGTTGGCTCTAAAAAGCCTTGCTGTCCGCAGAATACCACACGGCGGCTACATGCCACAGAAATTTGGCTAGCGAGCACAGCAGGTTTGGGAATTTAATGAAAATTCTGCTCGGCGAAACGTGTGTGAGAGAGATATATATAAAAAGAAAACACTCAGGGAATGAAAACAAAAATTCAAAAAAATAAAGCAAGACTGAAATTAAAAGCAGAAAGGTGGAAAGAAAGCAATAGAAGCATACACAAAGAAAAGATGAAAAAAATAGAAAGGGAAAGAAATATAAGAGCAGGAAAGGGATAGAAAGCAACAGGTATTAAAATGAGGTACAATAAACAGGAAAAAAAAAAAAAACAAGACAGGCCATGGAGCACAACTTTACCTTGAAAGTTGGCATCAATAGTGCAGAGGGGTTTTTTTTTTTTTTTTCTAAGATATTCGTGTCTCTTGTGGGACACAGGACAATAGCTTTCCTGTGATTTGGTAAGACTGGGCTAATTGGTGCGTGCCGACTGAAGCACAAAAAAAGACGTGCGCCGTTAGGAAGAATTTGTTTTCTTTTCCGACTTGTATTCTCCCATGGTACGCGTCTTCTTTTTTTTTTTTTTCATTTAGCGGCCCTCAATGCGGGGACAGTCCTCTGAGTAGCCAGATGGGTGGTCACATGTAGTTGACTAGATGTCCCTGCCTCCATCTGTAAAATTCTTTTGTACACGAATGGACCTCTTTAAGAAAATTCACCTTACTTTCGTGTTTCATTTGTTATTCATTTGCTGCAATCAGCTCGGTTGCACATTGTAAAAATAAAGGTCAGGCGTTTCTCTATCCTAAAAAAACGTACAATTCACGTGTCATTCCTTCTCACCTCGCCGTTCACCCAGTACTTTCACTTCACAAGCGCTGCACTATTTTAGCCCTGCACTATTAACCCTGATGGCATTCTTCTTAAGATTCGTTGTAAAAAGTGTGGTATTGTTTTCTTCTCTCGTGTCTGTGTTTGCAAGTGCGGCCTTCGTTTACGACAAATCATTATCGACTATCTGAGCCTTCTGTCATTCACACCTAAAATAAAAATACCTGGCTGTCGCACACTTTTCAAGAAGGGAAATGCATCCAAGCTGTGTGATTATTACTGTTGTGTTATAGCAAAGACTCTCCAATCAATGCAAACCGTTTTTTGATAGTGCACCGAGCCATAGGCAGTAATAGACTTGTAGCAGGTGTAAAATGATCAGTGGATAATGGAGGGAAAGTTAAGTTGTGTCGACACTTTCGTGTAGTCAATGCAGTATCGTTGCAACATTGCAGAAGACAACATAAAACCCAACAAAGAAATCAGTAAAGTGTGTGTGAGGGGTGTAACTAACTTCAGTGTTACATTGACCGAAAAAAAAAAAATGAATGTCTCCTCAATTCTGTGCAAAGCACTGAAATTTATGGGGCTCAGCTCGAGAAAATCGTAGTTTGCTCGCACAGTAATAAAGGGGCCCCTGAACCACACATGGTCGAAAGGCGAGGCAGTAGTTTCTTTCTCGCCTTCGCTACCCTTCCTGCAAGTGCCGTCTCCTCCTCTCTACCTACTTAGTCATGAAGCGCGGGGAATGTCCGCCCTAAGCAATGAGCCAGTTGAGATTTCGCACATTTCAACTACATGCGGTCTCCACTTGCGCAACGGCAAGTACAGAGAACAGAACGAATCGCTTTGTCGCCCTCAGTAGTGATACGAGACGACGCAGAACAGGCATGCAGCTGTATGGCAAAGCACTGCAGGGTAGAGGACAGTTTACGGCAGATATCTTGTACATGTCTACTAATAGAGAACTCGTCTCATCCTGACGTCACGGAAAGAAACGGTTAGCAGCACTAATTGTGCCGCAAAAGACAGGAAACGCCAAAGGATAATGTAGCTATTGTTCCTCGTAGTTTCACTTGTTTTTAGGGGTCCTTCAACAGAGAGTATTTCAGCGTGCTGCTGCCAATCAGTAATTATACGAAATGTTGGCATCTGTTTGCAAATGATAAAGTTGCAAGCATAGTGTCGAGTTCGCCTGTGCAGAAAGAGTAATTGACCACGGCAAGTTTTGTCTAATCGTGCATTTGTGCATGGCTAGCCTTCTAGAGCCAGAATAACAGAATGCACCGACTATCTAGTAACTGTTCGCTCCATCAGTAATTCTCTCTCTGTAGGTGCTGTTGGGATCAGAATCGGTCTGGGAAATGATACGTGTGACTTGTTAAAAAGCAGTTGAGGCAGTTAAGTCAGTCAATTATTTGTGTCATCGGCACAACCAGTAATGCTTTGTAGCTATTTATTATTTTTTTGCTGATTGGTAATAATTTATATGTAATGGAGTGTTATATAAATAGCAAACACTATCTGCATGGGGTACTGGCATAAAAGCACACCCTAAATGGTCTGCGCTCTTGACTAGCATTAGTTGCGAGACCAAGTTAAGTCTCAGAGAGTCCTTTTTGTTGAAGGAAGACTGCTCTGGCTCAGCATCTAGCTGCTCAGTCTTTTCAATTGCAAACCAATCACATGCACAGAAACAGGACATCAGCTTACATAACATAACAGGGGCATGTGGCATCTAATCTAGAAACCATTGGCTGATGGAAATGACTGTGTGCTATGAGGGAGGGAACGAGAATTGAAAGGTGTTTTGCCTGAGTGCTGGCAAGAGGGCATTATGGATTATAAATGAAATCGCTGGCCTATTACTAGACATTGAAAAAGTGTAGGAGTACGTTGCAGAGCATATTGCAGATGGCCTGTCATGGTGACGAAGGAAAGTGCGGCCAAGAATGGCAGGGAATCGAGTGTTGTGATGGAATTGGGGAAATTTTGCAGACATTGCATGGAAATGCCTTACTAGCAGGTGTGGATGGCATAGAGCTTCCTATAAATACACCGGAGGGAACTCTGGCACTGGTGTTTATGGGAGGTGCAAGGTAAAGCACTTCAGCCACCATGAGAATTATGTGTAGTACACGGATTTGGCTAATCTTCGTACTTTCGGCTCTGTTTCGCTTTGTCAGCCACTTTGTCATTAGACGACAATCGGAAAATGTTCAGGGGTTGCACTCCACCTCCTTAACCTTTTTAGGCTCGTTATTTCGAATCGGCTCAGGTAGTTCAGAATGGTTCATTCGAAGCAAAACCAAGACACAACAATAAACAAAGCCCCTAGTGTGTTCAAAACCTGCAGGCACAAAGACTGAGCAAATTTGTGTGCTGCCCATAGGTCAGCAGCATCAAGGAAAGCATCTGTGGCACTAAAAATGGGGCAAAAAAATGCATCCAATGATAGGAGATGCCATTTGTCATATACAACTATAGTTGAAACAAGAATATATGTGAGAACGATAATCTTACAAACAGGTACCATATTTGCTTTTATAATGCAGGCATGATATGTCTGAACTAGGGTAACCCACCTTCCTTTCTTAGTGACTAGGGTGCATTGACACAGCAACAATTCCCATGGTTGCCGGACGATCGCAGCGCCGGAGTCCCATCAAGTTAATTTTAAGAAACTCTACGGTTAATTGGGCACGTTCAAGGAAGGCGCTTTCTTCGGCTGTTGTTGGGATCAGCACCAAGGGACTGACTCTCTGCAGGAGAGACAACATGAACCGTTGGGGGCGTGGTGGTGACGACGGCCCACGAGGCAGTCTCAAGGGCCGCCAACCGGGAGAGCGCCTGCGCAAGCCCAAGTGGGACCTTTCGAGGCTGCCTCCTTTCCAGAAGGACTTTTACAAGGAGCACCCCACCACCGCCCACAGGCCCAAGGTGAGGGGAAAGAACTTAATTACTGTCCATTCTGTAGAATACAGGTCTCAAACATTCCAGGGTGATATAGACCTACCACTAGTTGCCCTATCAGCACCTGTCCGTCTTGTTCCCGCATTTTTTTTTTTTTCGATGATGCGAAGCACTTTAAATGACCCCTAAATGAGCCACACCAAATTCAAAGACAAGGCAGTGTTTTTTTTTTTTTTTTCCTCGCCTTCACACCCCTTCCGACAAGTGCTATCTTCTCGCCACTTATTTCGTCATTAAACTCGTGAAATTTCGACAGTAAGCGTTCAGCCAGTCAGGATTTAGCACTTTTCTACTACACTCTGGTATGTCCGCTTGCACCGTTGCGGGTGCAAAAACAAAGGGCAATCAGTTTATCGCACACGGTAGTAATGCGAGACAAGGCAAAACAGGCATTTGACTGTGGGGCGATGCAGGGTAGACGACAATTTGCAACAGATTTCTCTCGTATGTTATCCATTCGGGAGCCTATTGCATCCCGACGTCACGTGAGCGAACCGCTCGCATCGCTAATCGCGCCGCAAAAACTTGGAAATGCTGGGACACAATAACATGCTAATTCTTCGTATTTTTAGAGGTGGTTCGAGTCCCTATGAAGGCTAGATTTGTCACAGTATCCTATCATCACAGTATGTCATGCAGTCACGGTCCCATCACAAGAACGGGTATGTGCCGCAATGGGCAGATCCCACTACGTACGTACCATCGGTCCATTAAAAATGAAGGAGGCAGTGTATAGCCCAACAAATAGTCAACAACGTAAGTGGAGCAGAAACACCCTTCCCAAATGCCCCGGGAAACTGATACTATGCATGTGGGGAAGTAGCACCCCCACTTCGAGGTAAGCTGCGTTCCGACACTGCCCCCCGCTGACGTTAGTGGATTGAAAACAACTTTCCCTGCACGCCCGATTTCAGGCTTGGCGCTACTAATGCCTCATGAAACATCTTTCTCTAAACACTGCATGTAGCTTCAACCCTCCCAAGGTTATGCTAGTAGAGCCGGAACACCATTGCATACATGCGCTTCAACCCCTTTTTTCTTTTATTCTCTTTGTAAGTAATCCGTAAGCTTTTAACATGCAAGGGACAGCTCAGCTGCGTGCACCAGAAAGGAACTTGACGTGCTCGATGGAATGTTTCTGCAAGCGTGACAGCGCACCGCATGATGGCAGAAAGCACAATCTGTGAACACCCAGGGCACAGTTCTGACTATCGACGCTTTTTAGCACTGAAAAAGCAAGGCACATGTAGGTAGGCAAATAGTGAAGCTGTTGTGCTTTTCTGCCATGATGTTCATAAACCAGCTAGCTCATCCAAGAACCTTTAGCAGTTATTTTGCGCTTCTTGAGGAAAAAGTCTTATGCTTTGCTGAGTGCTACTTGATGTTCTCTCACCTATTGTGATGTTAAACTGTTTGTTTGGATGAGTTACACAGGCATGAATGAACCAGCTAGCTCATCCAAGAACCCTTAGCAGTTATTTTGCACTTCTTAAGGAAAAAGTCTTATGCTTTGCTGAGTGCTACTTGATGTTCTTTCGTCTATTGTGGCGTTAAACTGTTTGTTTGAATGAGTTACACGGAAGAGAGGTACATTCCAAAATCGCAGTCCAGATTTTCGTGTTGTGCTAAAGACGGGTATCGATGTGCTCCTTAAATCCTGGCGCCAACTTTCGTACATAAATTGTCCCTATATGAGAGATATGGGAAAGGCCTTTTACAATTGCCACATTAGCTGAGACTTTCCTCGCACGCTGTCTCGTGCTTGCTGCTTTCCTTCTCGGTGTTAACCTCAGGCAAAACTGTTCTCTCGTCGACAGCACGAAGTGGATGCATACCGGAAGCAGCACGACATCACCATCCGCGGCAAGGACGTTCCCAACCCTATTCTGACATTCGAGGAGGCTAACCTGCCGGGTGAGTGGCACTCAGTGGTGTTGTACTGAAAATGCACTGTAGTGAAAGAGTAGTCGCAACTTTGTTTAAAGAGATGAACCAAAGGGGTGACTAACTCGGCTCACTTTTTATTCCCTTGGCTTGATTGTTTTGCATGCTGCGGATGAATGTTATTCCTCGTTTAGTCGCGACTGCAAATTGTGTGCTGGACTTTGTCTTTGTGCCTTATGATGGCATTTAAAGGTAGAGGTTATCAACAGTCCACGCTGACAAAACATTTGAGGGCACTTCGATGACACTGTGAACAACAGAAAGGCTTGCAAAGTCAAGTGTTTCACATCCATAATTTAGGGGGTGAAGCTGAGACAAACTGCAATAACTGAAAAACAGGCTGCTGTGAATGACTTTGTTAGCCGATCCTGAGGATCTTCGTGTAGATATGTCTAACACACTTTGATGGCAATGTACAATAAAGTAATCTAGTCGTAGTCCTCTTCTAATTTTTCATCACAAGGCACCTTAGTTAGAAGAGACATGTCTTCTGGGTCCCTTGAATCTCTCTTGTAATATCATATTATTATATCTGATCCTGCCTACATAATTGAAAGCCAGTTTAGAGTTGGAACACAGACACTATTCTTGATGTCATCATCTTCGCTACTTGTATGATGCTTTCGTGACTGGACTGAGGGCTTAATTTTTTTCACACCTGGATTCTTGTGGCTCCACTTGCTGACAGTGTCGTGCTTTCTTTCTCCCGTGATTGGCCTTACAGATTTCTGCATGTCGGCAATCCGTCAGGCACAGTACAACACGCCGACTCCCATTCAGGCGCAAGGTTGGCCGATCGCCCTCAGCGGACGGGATATGGTCGGCATTGCTCAGACCGGATCGGGAAAGACACTTGCCGTGAGTTTACAATTCATTGCCAGGACAGTCATGGCATTGTTTGTAGGGCGAATCACAATTTGTCTAATCAATTCAGAGTGTGTAGAGCTCATCATAATTGTTTGCAACAAGGAAAAACTATTGTGCATGGCAGGGGGCTGCTTGCTTATTTGCACTAAATATGAAATTTTAGATTGCTAACCTTTTAATGCTCTTAACTCACTAAATTTGCAAATTATCAAGAGATCAACCAGATCTGAATATCTACTATTGAGTATCTTTGAGTGAATCTGCTCTAAGTATTTGCTACCAAGTATTCGATACAAGCCTTGTAGAAGGACCAACTAACTTTTCTAGGCTGTTTTGAATGCTTATATCAATTGGATGTTAGCATTCAAGCAGATGTCTCTTGTTAACAAAAACTCTACCTCAGCCATTCTACAGAGGAAGCAGTAAGACAGCAAGTTGGGCCAGTTGTTGGGATTCATCGTGAACTTGGTTCACAGTGCAACACCAGAAACACAGACACAGTAATCCTATAGAGGAAATTGTTAGTGTCGGCTTGGCAAGATGTACTTTGAACATTTTATTTCCTAGAGCGATCGAAACATGTACCAGAGTTCTCTCTTTGTGGTAATGATGGCCCATGATGGCTGTGTCTCACAATTGGTGCTTTCATTAGTGCATGCATGCGCATGCTCATGTCTTTTATCTCAGCAATTCGCTCCTTTTTCTCTGCAGTACATCCTCCCAGCAATCCTCCACATCAGCCACCAGCCATACTTGGAGCGTGGTGATGGTCCCATCGTAAGTGATCCTTTTAAACGAAACTTTGGAGATTAATTTTAATTTCTGCCATTGGTATATTCCCAAGGTAGCAGTCTTCCCCAAAACTTTTAGCCCCCCCTCCCCCCCCCCCCCCCTTCTCCCTCGGTGGGTTTATTTTGGGACTAGTGTGTAGCACTTTACAAAAAGTGCCCCTTTCAAAACAAGTTCGCTAATTGGGGCGTGAAACTTGCAAGGTGATAACAAGCTCTTAGAGGTTGATGGAAGTCGGCCACTGTAAATTCACTGAAGGTTGCCATGATTGGAAAACAGTCTTTAGCATGTTGTGGGCCTGCTCTGCAATTGGAAATAAATCATCATTAATAAGTGCATTTGCATGACACAAAGCATGTATGCTCCCGGCATTTTAAAAAAATTCATACTTTTCGCGCTCTCTGAAATTAAAAATTTAAGAACTGGCGGTTGCCATTATTGCAATGATACATGACGTAGCTGTGGCATCCTGTTCCTCTACTGCCTTGAGCACAGCGGTTGAAAAAATTGCACTCCAAGGACATGAACAAAGTTCTTGCACTTAGTACCTAATGCTATAAAGAGAAACATGAACGAGAAACACAAGAAAGATGTTACAGTAACACACAAACTGTCCAAAACAAGAAAATGAAAAATGGATGCAAATAAAGAGAAAATTTAAATAAAGAAGTATGTTCACATTATGTATGCTTGCATATGTTATACTAGTTTTATGCGGGCACCTTTGATTGCGATCTGGTCAATACAAGTGAGGCTCAGGCTTGATGGCGTGCTGCTACACAGGTGCTTTGTAATGTGTAATGCTGTGTTTCACTGGTTGATCTGGAGCGGATGCTGAAATATTGGAGCAAGTTCTCAGACGTTGTGAATACAAATTCGTCATAGGAAAGTAGGGATGCCTTGTGAAGGAGTGTGCAGGCAGTCTGCCAACACTTGCCACGAACCGGTAGCAGAAGCTTTGTCGTAGACCAGATGTGACGGATGTGATGCCGGCTATTTCTGGTTGGTGTTCGAGCAAAGAAGAGCAATTGGGTGTGAAGGGGTTAGATGTGAACCAGATCAGTGTAAAGCTCAAACCCGCTTTTAGTTGACCTGTGAAATTCGGATTGATGGCTGTGGACCAACAAAACGTCCTCTGGATCAAGCAGTGAAAGATGTCATAACTGTGATGTGAAAAAGAGCTGTAGGTGTGCTGTGTCGTGCTTTTTTTACAGGCACTGGTGGTCGCCCCCACCCGAGAGTTGGCCCAGCAGATACAGCAGGTGGCATCGGAGTTTGGCAGGGCCTCCCGCATCCGCAACACTTGCGTCTTTGGCGGCGCTCCCAAGGGACCCCAGATCCGAGATCTCGAGAGAGGTCAGTACTCCCTCCTGCCTTTTTGAAGTGCTGTTTCTTTTCTTCGTGTAGATAAAAAACAGTCCTGCTTAGGCTTGTGAGAGCATATTCGAATATGTGAATGAGTATTAGAGCATTCGTATTTGTACAAATTTGTAGTGTCAGAAATTTCGAAGTATTCAAAACGGACAAGTGGACATATTTGACCTCGTTCAAGCCACCCGAGAAGGTGCTTTCACTGCAGCATACGGCCCCAATGCCATGAATTCAACAGTTCAGGGATGATTCACACTGCTGTGATACAATTTGCAGTTGAGGTGTGAATTATATGCAGGGTGTTGCACAGAAAAATACTGTACTAATGTGCTCAAACCTCAATATACAAATTCGGATGTAACGAATTATCTGTTTTAAGAACATAAGTGACGAACAGTTCTCTTCAAGATACAGTGTTACGAATAATTGTTTATACCGAATTTTTGGATATCACGAAGTATTTTCGTGGCAGATGTAACTGTTATGTTGAGGTTTGAGCGCTAGTTGCCTGACCTCCGGAAACCCTGACCCTGTCCTGTGTTCCCAGGAGTGGAAATCTGCATTGCGACCCCCGGTCGGCTGATCGACTTCCTGGAGGCGGGCAAGACAAACCTGCGCCGGTGCACCTATCTGGTGCTGGACGAGGCGGACCGTATGCTTGACATGGGCTTTGAGCCCCAGATACGCAAGATCGTCGAGCAAATTCGGGTAAGTGTTTTGGTGGTGAATGCTTGGACGGCCAGCTCTGTTTTGGTGACAACCCCAGTGTTAGTCAATTGTAATAGACCCCTCTACTCAGGTCAATGTGTGATGGGAATGATTTGTGAGCTTGGGAACCACAAATTGCAGAGGTGTAGCGTGGTTTTGTGAGACAGAACTAGAATTTGGGTTCTCTGAAAGTCGTTAAGGGGGGATGCTACACCTTCCAAAAACTCTTTTATTTTTGCAAGTACCTCAGTCAAATTTGGAGAGCCTATGTAGATTTTACTGCTGATTTCAAATATCTAATTCTTTTTTTGCTGTGACAATTAGTTCTAAAGATATAATGAACTGCGACTTTTTCAATTAAGGCCTAATTAGCTAATTAACTGTAACTTGGATATTGATGTGCAACCTATAGAACCAATTCGGTATGTTCACAGTGTGCAATAAAGTATAAATCATTGTTCTTGGCTATTTCGAAGCAATGTTGTGGGATGTTGAATATGACATGAAAAATTTCCCCATCTACACTTGAAACAAAAGATCCATTTAGAGAATTTTCTCCAAAAATTATTACAATAAAACTTATTTTACGACACATCCCCTGCATTTATCTTCGAAACAAAAAAGAAATCGTAATGATAACCCAGATAGAACAAGAGATATTGCTCCGGCATAATGGGAAGCACATAAAAATTGTCGTTTTGAGAAATCGAGAAAAAACGTGGGCACACATTTTTATTGCAGAAGATGCAACAAGACAACCTCAAAACGCACCAGAAGCATAGTCTGAATGCATTCTGTGCTCATGCCTCCTCTTCACTAGCTTCCGGAGTTCCAATGAGGCTGTTCTTTTCTTGTTGGAGACAATGCTGCGACGGTGGTCTTGTTCTCTCGCTCTCCTGGCACCAGTACTTGTCGCATTCATGTCCATTTCACCTAAGATTGCCGTTGCAGAATTCAAATTGCCCGTGTTGAAGCGCAGCACTGCTTCTGCAACAGCTGCTTCAACAGCGAACAGGGACGCATGGTGCTCCTTGGGGGCCAAACTCCAGATTACCGAATGTAGGCTCTCGTTGGAGTTCTGCGTTTTGCCGCGTTCGCTCCTCTGAAGCAGGGCTCTTTCCGAAAGCCGGGTATAAACCGGTAGTAATGCCTCTGCCACGTCTTTCGGTAGATTGTAGGCATGCCTGGGGTCGGGCTCACCCTTTGCTTTTGCGGCATTGTGCCGACACCATGAAGTTTCACCAGCTGGGCACAGACTGTGGTCCGAGCATTCATCAGTGGAGGTGACGTGGCGGTATGTGGCCATCACAGCCTTTTGCATCTCGCCCACGTCACCTTCATGCGATTTCAGAGCCCGGCCATAATATGTGCTCAGCCTGGTGATCAGCTCACCTGTGAGCCTGCCTTTCCCACCAAGGCCTCTTTTCCCATCGCACTTTTGTTTCTGCACCAGGTTTCTCAATGCGGTGCCCATCCGTTTCTGTACATGATTAATACAGTCTTCCTTCTGCACGTCAATGTAACCATACACCTTGGCGTCTTGTATGGCGCAAAATGTCCTAGAGTCTCCATCAGACAGCATAGTTGTGTAGCGCAGGCCATGGCGTTCAAGCGACCTCTGAAATAGAATTAGAGCCGCCTCCACTTCCATTTGCCCCGCTTTGCTGTTCGTATTTTTTTGGCATTTGTGGTTAGCCTTCCATTCTTGATAGCCCTCACTACTAGGCTTTGGGCCCACCTCGCAGCCTAGGCAAAAGTTGGAAAGAACGACGTAGTCCAACACGTAGCCACTAAATAATTCGATAACTGTGCCCACGCCGATGTGGGAAGAATGGCCTCGCGTCTTCCACGTGCCGTCGTAGCTAACGGCAATATTGACCCGGTGGCCGAAGCACAAGTCATCATAAATTGTTCTAACCTTTTCCGCACATTCGCTCATAGCGGACTCAGCCGCTCGCGTTGCAGCGGGTGCCAGCGTGTTCTTCAAATGCCGCTGAAACGTCTTGTGGTGCATACCGCGGTGTGAGATGCCCATTGTTGCGAAAATATCGTTCATTTTCGTTTGGCCGTTGCCGGTAGCCACCATCGCCCTCGAAGCGAGAAGATTTACTTCAAACGGATTGCACGTTTTCGTGCCGTTCGCGCGGGGCGAAGTCCATTCATTCGCGATCTCGCCGCACCTTTCACACTGCACTAGCACCTTCACGGCAAGTCCGTAGTCCCGATCCCCTCTGACGATCGTAGCCGGTCCGTGGCAGGCTTTGCAACACAAGGCACCCATTATCGCGTTTAGGATATCTAGATGCATAAGCAGATAAGGAGCAGCATGGTCCGAGTCCTGTGCGGTTGCCTCGCTACAACTCGCGGTGAAAAAGTCAATTTTCCGTGCAGTTGCTGGCGCCGATGAAAGCCGGTCGAGCGTCGCTTTCTCCCGGGCATGATTTTCTTCAACTTCGGCGTTTGTCACCACCTTGGCGTCGATTCGTAGTCGTCCGGAGTTCGCTTCACCGTCATCGTCGTCGGAGGCAACGCGCTCGGTCGCACCATCACTGAACGGCCGCGGAGCGTCGACACATCGTTCGTCGGAGTCAACCAAGGGCTCTGATGACTTCGTAGACTTTCTCCCACGACCTTTGCGTTTCCTGCGACCAAATGCGTGCACGGTCCGATACTTTTTTTGCGTTTCCAGGCATGGCGATACGATCAGAAGTTTCAGAGTGCTCTGCCGATTTCGAGGCGTCACAGCGGTAACCCTTTCAAAATGGCGTCGGGTCGCGTATGCAGGCGCAAGCCGCGAGCTTCCAGCCAACCGGAAAGCGCCATTTCAGTCACGTGCGCCGTTTAGCCAATGGCAGTGAGCGCGGCTCTTCGTCTTTGAGGCCCCGTTTTTCGAGCCGGGGAAACGCTCAATGTTGCTTACTGAATAAAAAAAACAGCTGAAAACGCGTTCTTTCAAACAAGACCAAAATGGCGCCGATCGAGCGCGTAGTTCCCGCGTATCGTAGAGCCGAAACCTGCGCTATTCGCCCTCAATTTAAAGGGCAGGACGCCCGTTTTCGGTTTTTTAAAGTTGAATAACGATAAAAGTTGATGGTATTCGGCTATGAAGTTTTGTAAATAGGTGCGCAATGATGTCGGGAACGCGAAAAGTAGGTCCGCGAAAACTCGATTTTTTGGCTGATTTTCGGTCCCGAAGTGCCGCGTCCCCCCTTAAGTGCACTTTCAACACGCAGGCATGCGTGTTGAAAGTGCACTCGGTTTATGCTGAGGCCTGATGAACAAGTTGAATTTGTGAGATGCACGTTTTAACTGTTGATAGCTTTGTGTTGGTGCCTAACACGGAAGAATTGTGTAGCTTTGTGTGGTGCCTAACACCGAAGTTCATTGTGTGTTGCTCACGGTGGTGTGCACCTTCAGTTCCTGTCACCTATCGTAGACTCCTGTTCGATGGTTGCAAAATTGACTCTAGCGCATTAGGTATAGCTGGCTGTACTGCCAGTGCTGAGTGCGACATACCGTGCAGCCGGATCGTCAAACCCTGATGTGGAGCGCCACCTGGCCCAAGGAGGTTCGGTCACTGGCCGAGGACTTCCTGAAGGACTACGTGCAAATCAACATCGGTGCATTGCAGCTGTGCGCCAACCACCGCATCCTGCAGATCATCGACGTCTGCCAGGAGTCCGAGAAGGACACCAAGTGAGGAGAAGAGAAACACTCCCTTTTTTATTTTTATGTGAAAAGACGCAACACGTGCGCACGCCATAACCGTTCCTCAACGTGAGCTTTTTTAGCAAAAGCGATGCATCATCGTTTGAATTTAAAACTGCGCCTCCTCTAGAAAGATGCCTGTGGCGTTGCTCCCTATCCTATTGTAGCTTTCCTCTTATTAGTTGTGGCTGCATGCCAAGCAATGGTGCCACAGTCTCTCCTCTTCAGTTGGGTTAGGGGTAGTGGTGTGCATGCACGCATGCGTTGCAAGGGGCATGCATTGAGCTCGCTAGCTAATGCCTCTTGTAGAAACTAGGGTAATGGGAAGGACCAGAGGTTTTTTGGTGAACATGGCGGGCATCATTTTGTTTAGAGGAGGTGTTGGCGTAATGCACTCGTGTTGCAGTTGAGTACAAAAGGAACTTACATGAACTGGCAACAAAACGTGCTCCATGCTACTCTGTGACGGCGATCTTGTTCAAACTGCCGTTCTGATGCCTGGCTGTCGCCAAAGCATGAATGCAGTTTCGGTGTTGTATTCATTTGTAATGTGCAGGCAATTTTCGGGCTTTGCAGTAAACACTTTCAGACACACATTCAAACATAACAATGAAGTTGCATTCAACACGAGAATAGCTTCCTTAAGTACATCAGATAGTTTTTATAAACCTATATTCGTTAGGCTGTTCACAGGGACACTTTTTCATTGCCTCGATATAACTGATAATTCGTTGCGCCCAGTTTTATTATATGGAGCTTTCATTGTAATCTAAATCTTGCATTTTGTGCCCGCCGCCACTTCATTTGTTTATTGTACGGAACTTGTTTTGCCAGTGACGAGGGCTCTGATTGTGCGATGCTCCCTGATGATGGCTTTTGTTTTTTTCTCTCTCTCCCATCACCATCCCGCACCCACACACGCGAGCGAGCGATGGCGCGTATGCGTGGCTCTTGCACCCTGGCGCCTGCTTTCGGCGTGACAGACTGGCCCGTCGTGCCACCCGCGGCGACGCTGTCTCGCGACGGCACCGTCGCCTGCTCTTCGCTGCTCTGTTTGAAGGCCTTGGGAAGGAAGGCTGCAGAGGCTACCTCCTCCAGTCCTACCCTCCCGACTTGATGCCATTGCATGCGAGCCAGTCTGCCACAACAAGCTGTTCACTTTTTTTTTTGCTCATTACTTTTTTTTTCATCATTTTTCAAGGGGGGTACTACTGCAGTCATGTGTGGTTATGTCGTTGATCCTATTGCGAGGCCCTCACAGCTATGCACTGCAGTTTTTAGAAGGTAATTGATTGTTGATTTAGTGCTGTTTAGTGAACTTTGAGATGTTCTTTTATTCGATTCGTGTTGCCGCAAAAAGTAGTAAAGAGCACCTTTGCCAGAATTGATCCCTGCGGAGCAAGTCAGACGTTATTTACTAGGGTGGGGCTTCTGAAACCACTTGTTTAACGCTTGTTTAAGGATTAGTTAGCTTTATGAATTTTGAAACAAAGTTCAATGTTTCTGAACTAAATCTCAACAGTTTTGACTGACATGTTCTTTGGGTTGTTTTGAAGTTTCTATCTTTAGCTTACAGTAATTAAATTGGTGTCAACAGCTAGGCAGCCAAAATTCCTTCTCCATGACTGAAGTGTCCCCCTTGATTGTTAATTTACCTCACTCTCTGCGTGGTCTGCAATGTGCCTCTGGTGAGGCGGTTGTCAGATACCTTCGGTTCGGTTTAGTGACCTTAGCGTTGCTCTTTCCAGGCTCCTCAAGCTGCTGCAGGAAATTATGAATGAACGGGAAAACAAGGTGCGTGTTAGCCGAGCCTGTGCGCAGCAGGTCGCGCTCTCAAATTTCTTTTCCTCCTTTCTTTGTTTATTTCTCGCTTACTCTTTCTTCTTTGCTATTGAGCACTGGCACCCGAATTTGGTCTTCTGGAAATAGCTGTGGAAGTTCACGCCTATCAGTCCACTCGCTATTTTTAGAAATCCAAAGCTAATTGCAGCACACCTTAGCTTCTTTCAAGGAAGAATTTGCCATCACTGGCATGGTCGGTGTGTGTATGCTTTGTGTTCACTACATTAGGAACACACGGTTGTTAAGATAGTGCAGTTAATCTACTTATCATAGCTATTGTATTAATGAGCTGCAAGGTCACCATTGCGTGTCTGAAAGCAGATAAGCATTTTTGCACTATTAATTTCAGTGTCCTTAATAGTATGCCAATCACAAGGCTGTCCTGTCAAAATTCTGCCTTGCATGATGTGGTGTCAGTGCTGCGGCCTCTCTGTCCTTGTAGCCGCGGGAGGCAGCGAGAATCGTGGGGGAGGGGGTGCATCGAGGTGGAAGCAACTTTTAGAGAGAGAGCTCAAACGTCGTCGCTAGACAGGCACGTCCGTGATCGACCGCTGCCCCCCTCCCTTTGCGCTTCCGTTCGGTCCAGCGAGCTTCAACGACCGCGCTCTTACCATGTTGCGGGGCAGGCGCCTTCACAGTCCAGCCAAAGGGTCTACTTATCAGTCTTCATAGTTAGCTTGCTATGAAATATGCTATGAAATAGCTTGCTATGCTTTTTGCACCTTAGCCATCGTTGCAGTTGAATCGCTAAAAGAATGTAGTCTATAAAGGGCTTCCTTTGATCAGCCGAGTCAAAATTGTGCGCCAGCTATATTGAGTAGTGTCAGATAGAGTAGTAGAGATTTTGCAGAGTGAAGCATTCGGTGCTCTGCTACAGAGCATTGCAGATTTAAATCGCAAAGAAATATACATAAAAGAGCTTTGCGGTATGCTAGTGCGCAGTTGTGTTGAAGGGTGGCGTTGTTAAGCCGAGGTCGCGTGCACAACACCCCGCAACATGGCGAGCCCTCCGAGAGAGCAGCACAAAAGAGTGTAGCTGGGATTTCCGTTGCGTGAGTGTGTCCCGCCTCCATGCGTCACGTTGCAGACCATAATATTTGCCGAGACCAAGCGTAAGGTGGACGAGCTGACGCGCAGGATGAGGCGCGATGGTTGGCCTGCCATGTGTATTCACGGGGACAAGTCGCAGCCGGAACGAGACTGGGTGCTCGGAGGTAAGTCTGCCTCAGTACACGCTACTTCACAGTCTGTCTGCATGGCATGCCTGTACCACTTGCTTCACCCTATATAGTGTTCAAAGCGATAGAAGCGCACAAGTTATTGAGATGCAGGTTATTTAACGTCACTGCACGAGATGCTGGCATAAAGGCAGCAGTGTTTCTGCATGCTGGCAGTGTTTGTTTTGTTACTTTGCCAAATATGACAATTCCGCACTGTCCCAGGAGGGTGGTTTCGATCAGCGATCTATGTATACTTGATGTCATCTGGTTCCACCTAAGCGAAGTTAGGTGAAGGTTCATGCATAGGAAGGACTGTGCAGTGCTCACAAAAGGACATTGCACAGTCTGCATGAATCCATACCAACTCGCTCAATTTTTTATCCTAAGTTAGGTGAAGTTGATATTCTTTGTATCCCCTATCTGAATACTGACTCCCTCAATTTTCTATCCTAAGTTAGGTGAGGGTGATCCTTATTTGTATCCCCAACCTGAATACCAACTCGCTCAATTTTCCATCCTAAGTTGAGTGAAGGTAATATTTATGTCCCCAACCTAAATACTGACTCGCTCAATTTTCTATTCTAAGTTAGGTGAAGGTGATATTTATTTGGAACCCCAGCCTGAATACCAACTCACTAAATTTTTCTATCCCAAGTTGAGGGAAGGTGATATTTACTTCCTGAATACCGACTCGCTCAATTTTCTATTCTAAGTTAAATGAAGGTGATACTTAACTGTATCCCCAACCTGAATACCGATTCGCTTAGTGTTCTATCCTAAGTTTGGTGAAAGTAATAACTATTTGTATACCCAACCAGGGATAGCAACTTGCTAGATTAAAAAACCAGCTGGCTAGTTGAAAGGAGAAGTGATCTAGTCTACTTGCAGGCAGTAGTCAAAGCATCTTGTTCCCATCGATGCACAGTCTTAGTGTCTTTCTTTTCTCGCGAACAGAGTTCCGGAGTGGGAAGTCTCCGATCCTGGTCGCTACCGACGTTGCTGCCCGAGGATTGGGTAAGTAGTTTGTAAACAGGTGAAGCTGCAAGCGCGTGATCTCCTAGTAGAGTTGGGGACGTCAGTGCTAACGCATCACGACACAGAAAGCAGCTGCGCCCACATGTAACATGGCTTCCACAGACTTGTCAAGCCACATTGGCAGCAGGGAGAAATGCAAACGTGTGGCGGACAATGGTGGGGTTGGCGGCGTGGCCGCGGAGCGGATTGGTCGGGCAATCTCAAGACAGCGCCACGGGTGGCCCGTAGCTTCTGGATACACCTTAGCTCATTTGTGGCTTCTCATCAGCTGGCACGCATGGTGCCCAAATTCAAATTTCTAATGCTGGGTTGCCCTTACTGCTGTCTTTTCACTGCCGCGTGTTTGGGGGTGGGCGGGGCCTTTTCCTCCCCGTGGTGGTTTCGAAAGCGGCTCTTTTATATTTTCTGTTTCTTTCTCTTTCAGAGGCACCGTAAACAGAAGCGAGTGAGCGAGACAGGATGATCTCGCAATTGCGCATATTGGTGCCTCTGTGTGTACGGCTACCTACGGCCGAGGGCGCGCACACTTACTCGAGACGACCACGGAGCTCACGCCCCCCGCCGTCGTCGCCAGGCGGCGCTGCGGGGAGACTCGGGAGGAAAGCTATCGCCGCCGCCACTTGTCACGTGGGCGGGACTCGGCCCGGCCGGCCGCTCTGCAGATTTAAAGAGCGAACGCGCGAGGCCCGCGAATACCCCACCGCCTCAAAAGGTGGCCGAGGGCATCGCCGCCACCGTCTTGAAACGAGGAGATGGAGGCGGCGCTTCGCTCACGCCCCCACACTGTTGGGCAGGGCTACTACGCATGTCCCGGCCTGCCCCGACACTCGCCCACCTCCTCTCGTCGGGAGGTGACCCGGCATACCACCGGGGCACGGTTTACTGGCATAGGCCTCGGAGGACACACGCTGCTTCGGGCCTGGCATCAAAGGAGTTGGCGTCAGTGAGAGCCCTACAGAGAACCGTCGGGTCGCGCCTACATGGCAAACAATCTCAAGTACCGGAGTTGCAGGCCATGTGTGACGTGCCCCCTCCAAACATTTTGCAGCTTAATACGTGCTGATGATTGCTAGAGGGGACAAGAGAAAAGAAAATACTACAGAAAACCCTTTATCTGTGGTTTCGGTGTGAGACTTATGCGCTCATTAGAGAGAGAGGTCTGGCACTGTGCGTGCGTCGGCTGGCAGCGGTGAGGTGTGGAGAGCAGCGACGTAGAGGCATTTGCGAGGGCGAGACGGAGGGGGCGGCACGGCAAAAGGGGGCAAAGTGGAGCATCCGTGCCCCCGCCACCCTCCGAGGCCAGGCCCCTCCTGCTGCCGCACGACGACAGAGCAGGTAGGGGGGCATGCAACGGCCGCCGGCGTCACCCCGAGCCCCTCCTCCCACCACTGCTTGTCGAGGTGGCCTAAGGGCGCCCGTATGCCGCCCTGTCTGTGGCGGGTGCCTCTCCACCGATCCCCGGGCTGCCTCCCGCGCACGCCGAGGATGGGAAACCACAGGTAATGACAACGCGGGCTTCTCACTGCAGCCCTTTCTGCCCGGCTGCACCTGCAGGCCCATGTACAGTGGGGTGTCCTAGAGTGGAATGTGGTGCGCAGGAAAACTGTTAGGCTGACACGTTGCTGGTGCCAGAACTCCCAGCTTCAAGCAGTCAGCGAATGCTTCCCACTGTTGCTAGCTACAAGTGTTAAGAAAAATTCCGGTTCAAACCTGCCTCAAACAGGAATGTAAAACTGTACTTTAAGAACTTCGACAGAAATCCACTTGAATACACTAAACAATTCTCGAGTGTAAGGTTGCAGCAGTTGGGCGTAGAGAACCCTATGATGTGTGCCATTTCATGAACCGATCATATTGTAAGTTTCTTTTCTCTAATCTATACTCATTAGTTTCTTGCAAAGAATGCCATGTCATGCTGATAACAAGCATGCTGGTATTTTTTGGTGACAAGATAAGTCCAGAAAGGTGATAGGACCTCTTGTTAAGGTGAAGTTAACGATATTGGTACCTGGAAGTAATGTTAGACATTTCAAAATAAGAATTTGATGCACTTGCGAATCTGTCTGGATTTGTGAATGAAGAGCTCGATGGCCCCACCCGTGAGCACACAGATATAGTGTATGCACACAGCTTCCAGGTCTCGTCTACCATAAAATGTTTTAACCATTTAAGGATTGTGATGCCCGCAATGCTTTGCCTTCAGTGTTTTTGCTGTGTAACAGGCTTGTCAGGCATTTCCTTTGAGGCAACATATGCATCTGTTTTATCAATGGACAGAGGCCCCCTCTCCTGCACACCATTTGCCACTCTAGGTCACCTTCACCGGCTTCGCTGGTGGACTAGATGAAAAAAGCCAAAAAGCAGCTTAGATAAAGAAGTTACCGCACACTGTGTGCCTTGCCTATGCTTAGCTCTTGTAACACAAGGCTAGCATCGCCCATGGAAAGTGGTAGTTAGGGCCACAACAGAAATGGCTTGTGCAACCTTTCTAGGCACCGAGATGGGCAAGCCTATAATACTGTATGTAGCCCGATATAGCTTCAGCTTGCGAAATTTATTAGACATGCTTGGTAGTAAGCAACTTCATGTAAAAGTAGCTCTAAATCTTGGTATACTGCAATGCTTATAAACAACTAGTAGAGCCCCAACAGGAGTGACTTGCATAAGCTATATTTTTCAAGCGAATCAGACTGCTAACTCTCTGGAATATTAATCTTGCTAAATGTGTGTGACCCTATTTCGTCTTAATGTAGCAGCAATTTAGACGTTTTCTTGCTGCTGTCTCAATACAAAGGCTTGAACACTTAGTGGAGCCACATCGAGAATGACGATGATTTCACAATTACATAGCACTAAATGGCTGCAAATCGGTAAACCTATGAGACCCTATTTGTCTAAACGTAGGTGTAATTAGACATGCTTTTGCTACTGCCACACTACCATGAACCCTCACAAACACTTAGTGATGCCACATCAGGAATCAATCGGGAATGGCCTGCATAGATTTAACTTTTCATGGCGATAAGACTGACAAGTTTACAAATATTATGGTGTGAAATGATTCCAACTTGCTATAAGTATTAACACCTGATTTCATCTGAATGCAGATTTAAAATAGGAATTCTTTTGCTACTGTCCCACTAACGCAAATGCTCATGCGTACTTAGTGAAGCCCTGTTAGGAATAGGTAGTCAAGTTTAAACTTTCAAGGTGATGGGACTGGCAAGTTTGAAATTAAAGTGCGTGGTGGTCCCAAATTGCAAAATGTATTGACTATACCTTCATCAGACAATATTTCGGCCAAACATAGCTGTTATTCAGCGATAGCTTGCTTAGATTCGTACTTCTACAACGTTTCAAGGAATAGAAACTGCGAAAAGTTCACTATATTTTTTTTTTTATCTTAGGAAAGGCCTCTAAAAATGGCTACCTGTACTAGACAGTCAGTCTGTGTGATATGGTTGTAATGATAGCATTACATTTGTACAGTTCCAGCCGTAACTAACAAGGCTGGTTAACATAGAGCTAGTTGAGCTGCAGCTGCGTAGCTGTATATTTGAGCAATTTCTTGAAGCACCCATGAAACAAAGCCTGCTTTATAATTGCTGCCAAATATAACTTTCACCTTAACCAAGCTAAAATAAGTATTTTTTGTATGTGTTTGTAGGTAACAGTGCCTTTTAAAATTAACCGTTCTCCGTGGTTGTATGCTTCCCGAACTGAGTACTTTGGGTGCCTATGGAACGTAATACGCTTGTATAACCTCATAGATCAGTATGTAACCATCCACTATGGCAGTAGCGAGCACACGTTAAATTGGCCCTGCAACACTTCTCGAAAGAATCGCGGAATGACATAACTGTTGGACTTCATCGCCTCACGAAATGACTGCAGCAAGGACTTATAGAAACCGTCATATATGAGCAAACGGACAGGGACGTGTTGTGCGATTCAAGCGCTTTGACCCCCCTTTTATAACGGTGGGCGCACTGAAAGCTGCCTGGAGAGAGAGGGTGGCAAGAGTGAAGAATTTGCACGTTCGTTTGTGTCAGCACACCTCATGACCTTGGGCTTCATTTTTTTTTTTCGTTTTGTTTTTCATTGGACACACGACTTCCTGTCGGCTGTGGTGTAAATCATATATTGTGCAAAATTCAAGTGCTGTAGAGCACAGCTTGGGTGTGTGATGGTGTACCACGGCAATTGTGGTGTGTAGCTCATGATGCTCTACGCAGCTCGTGGCTGTAAGCCAAATTGATGTCATAATTCAAGGTGAGCCGATGGCATCGTATGTCGAGAGTAGAGAAAGCAAAGGCTAGCCGACTTTGAAACCCAATTGTAAGTTCCGTGCAGCATGCTGCTGTATATTGTATTGCTCGTACATTTGCAGTTGCTTGTCTACTGATCAGTAGTAGTGGCTTGCCATGTTAAAAAAAAGTTGCAGAGCCCCTTTTAAGGTGTGAAACAGTTCCAGCCCAAGAAAACAACCTGAATATCGTTAAATCCTTCTATTTTAGCTTTATTTCGTTTGTTAGAAACAGTTTAGTAACAGTTGAAATCGGTTTTCCCAACCTTCTTGAAATAAGTAGTAGCTCATTCTTAAGTGACTCAGCAGCAAGGAAATGTTGTAAATGTAGTGCAATGTACTGTGAAAACAAGTGCTGCTGTTGCTGCCCACGTGCATTTTGCTGAAGCAGGGTAGTTATTTTGGGCTGCCTTATTCAGCTTAGAGGGGGTGTACGTAAGGCTGCTCTTACAAAAAATACTAACACAAAACAAAAGTTCTTAATTGAAAGGGGAAGAGGCACAGATTCAAAGGTAAGTATATGGCCAACATTTTGCCGCTTCTTTGGGAGGTGACAGAAAGAGTAGGCGAGGTGCACACTCATCAGATGTTTTTTCGAAGGAGCACATTGTTAGATGCATATCTGTAATGTTTATTGGAAAGCTAGGATATTGAACTTTGGTGCGTGATAGCGTTGGTCGAGGCAGGCTGAGCTGCTCTTGTGGCCGTATTCTTGTTGGGTAATAATAATTGCATAGATAGGGGACTAATAGGTTGTGAATAATTATCCTCAGCTCCCATAGTCACCGCTTCATTACCATGTTGCTTTCGTGTTAAACAAGATGTCCTAGAAATCAGCCAGAGAGCTGCATCATTAAACCCGTGAAGTGATTAGTTCACATCGTAGCTTCGTGCACATAAAATTTAACGTGGCCATAAATCTAGTATGTAACTTATATTTCTAAGTGTATTCTAAGGTCTGTTGTATTACATCCCAGTCTGGCTGGTTCTCAAGTTATCGGGTTTTTGCTTTTTATAGACTGCTATGGTGTTGGTGGCAGGTATGCTATTGAAATATGAGCAAGAAAACAAAAGAGGAAGCCTGCTGATCTCTCTCTTCTGGCCCCCTTCCTCCGCCCCCTCAATTCTCCCCTTTCCTGGCGTGTGTGTATAACAGATGTGGATGACATCAAATTTGTCATCAACTACGACTACCCGAACTGCTCGGAGGACTACGTACACCGCATAGGGCGGACGGCTCGCTCTAACAAGACGGGCACGGCGTACACTTTCTTCACCCCGGGCAACTCCAAGCAAGCCCAGGAGCTCATCTCAGTCCTCAAGGAGGCCAACCAGGTGGTCAACCCCAAGTTGTTCGAGATGTGCGAGATGTCCCGCTCCTATGGAGGACGTGGCGGTGAGTTCGCTCCTCGCTTTTTCTCGTGTGGGAGTGTGCCACCATCAGATGTTGAGCTTGAAAGAAGCAAGGGTGAGACAGAAAATTGCCAGGGCTTTTATTTCCCACTGCAGGCGGTTTGACTGCCCTTGCGAAGTATAAACCCATCATTACATTCCCAGGTGTTGCATTTCCATGGCTGCTGCATCGTGTTTTGCGTGCGTGTGTGTGTGTGTGTGTGTGTGTGTGTGTGTGAGTGTGTGTGTGTGTATATATATATATATATATATATATATATATATATATATATATATATGCATACCACTTTCAACTTAGCTTTCATAGGATCTGTTGTACTGTAGGCTCTCAATAATTCGAACTTGAGGGAGACCCCAGGCACGTGGTTGAATCCCCCAGGTGCGTGTTCGAACTTGAGGGATACCCAAGGTGCATGTTTGAATCATCAGAAGTTCTCATGTGTGTGCGTGTGTGCACGTGCGTGTACCAGTTCCAACTTAGCTTCCATAGGATCTGTTGTACTGTAGGCTCTCAATACCGTATTTATTCGAATATAAGGTGGTCACGATTATAAAGCGAGGGGGAAGTTGAAGGACCCAAGAAAAGAAAAAAAGTTTGCACACTAATATAGGGCGAAAGAAACGAAAGAAAAAATGCAACTAAATTCCTTACCTTTCAGCAAAGCAGACACCAAATATTCATGAACTATCTGTACACAAAGATATTTATTCGGAGCGAGACGAAAGTGCAACTTAGAAACTATCTTCAAAGGTGGTGGTATCGGAATCTTCCTTATCACTTGCGCACTCAAAGAGGTCGTCATCCTCGGTGCCGTCAAGAACATTTGAAATGCAGCACTTGCGGAACGATGCCGCAACTACCGTATTTACTCGATTCTACCGCGCCCTCGATTGTAACGCGCACCCGATTTCCACCGCAAAAAAAAAACAAAAAAACGTAAGACATCAATTGCAACGCGCACCCATTTTTCTCGCCGGCCCGCACGATCACACCACTCGAAAAAACGACTCCTTTCGGGAGCGTATTCTATTTAAATATGAGGGACGGGCGAAGCTTGTGCCCATCTGACGTGTAACAGAGCTTTCCGTCACGGTAGTTTTACCGTGGACCGATGTCAGCACGCGAACTTGCTTCGCGCCCTTCTTCTCGACGGTTGTGGTGCCAGGCATGTCGAAGTAAAGAGGCGTCTGATGGGCAATCCCGATTTGCCCAAGCAGGTAGCCGTTGTTGCGCCGCAAGTTTAGGACGAACCTCTGAAAACTGTGAAGCTTTTCATCATACTCCTCCGCAAAACTTTTCGCATATGCATGTTCCCTTCGGAGGGAAAAGCCTTTCCTCTAAATAAAGTTAGTTAGCCAGCACCTGCTCGCTTTAAACTGGCTCTGCATTAGACCTTTTTCCAAGACTGATTGCATAGCCCGCACTTGGAGCAGTTCTGTCGTCACGGGCTGCTGTGCCTGCCGCTCGCTGCTCAAGCACATACTTGCCGAGCAGCTCTTTAATTTGCGGAAACCGACCCTGCTGTGGTCCACTGAAGCCTTTGCGTGAAGCTTTGCTGTCGAGAATCTTCTGCTTTTGTTTCCGCCGGTCCCGCACGCACGTTTCGGGAACTCCGAACAACAGCGATGCGGCCCGATTTCCGTCCGTTTCTGCACACGCCATAACTTTTCTTTTAATAGCGGCATCGTGGTGCTATCGAGTTTTTGGAGCCGGCCCTTCCACGCCGTCGATGCTAATGCACTACTAGATGACGAACTCCTCAGCACACGTACGAAGTGCCGCACATGGGAAACACATAGGCAGAAATGGCCGACGCGCCATGCCGACGCACGTAGGGGGCGGCCATTTTGGATTTGCTGATGGCAATAGATTGACCGTAATTTTTTTGTTTGTACTCGATTCTAACGCGCATGCAATTTATAAACTCGCTTAACCGGAAAAAAGGTGCGCGTTAGATTCGAGTAATTACGGTATGGCTTCGGGGATCGCTGCCCAAGCGTCGACCACCCACTGGGCGAGCATGGATGGGGACGCCCGCTTTAGACATCCCGACGGCGTCAGGGCCACAGTGTCAGACGCCATCCATTCATTGTACAGCCGTCTGACGTGTGCCTTAAAGGGCTTGTTAAGGCAAACGTCAAGTGGCTGTAGTTGGCTTGTCAGGCCTCCCGGGATGACGACCAGCTCGGTTCGGTTGACGATGAGCTTCTTCTTCACACCTTCCGTGAGGTGCCCGCGGAATGCGTCGAGGACCAGCATTGACCTCCGGGCCAGCAGTGCCCCTGGTCTTCGGCACCGCACCGACTTTACCCAGTCCAGAACAAGCTCTTCCGTCATCCACCCCTTCTCCTGGCAACGAATGTGGACGTTCTGCGGGAGCACCTCGTTCTTTGGCATGGTCTTTCTGTTCAGGATGATGTAGGGGGGCAACTTCCGCCCATCGGCGTTGCAGGCTAACATCACGGTTATCCGAGCCTTCTCGTTGCCTGTAGTGCGCAGGATCACTTGGCGATCACCTTTTTGGTGAATTGTCTGGGCCGACGGCATGTAAAAAAAAATTAGTTTCGTCGGCATTGCCAATCTGCCCGAGTAGGAAGTCGTGGTTCCGGAAAACAACGGCGCACGTCGTTTTCCGGAACGTCGAACTTCCGACCCGCCGCGCAGTTTCCAGTGGCTTCCGTCTCTGCTATGACTTTCCTCTTGAAGGCTGCATCGTAGTGGCAACGACGACTCGCCATTGCGCTGGTCGCATAAATAAGAAACAAGCACTGAGAAAGAAAATCTTGCAGCAGGGATTCCAGCACTCCAACAAAAAATGCAAAATGGTGTCCCGGCTTGTTTACAAGCTTTGCGGCTGCGGCTACTACTGGCTTGGAGCGGCTGCTGCTGGCTCAGCATGTTCACATGGTCGAAGGCGCCCGCTGCCATGGCCTCTGCTGTATCGCGAGCTATTCAATAACCTTGCAGCGACCGAAACTCGGTATTTACTATTTGCAACCTGCGTTTGTGTAAAATTTTATGCGTTTTATTCTGAAATCTCTTTGTTACATTTCCAACATTGTTGTCGGGCTCTTTTGGAAGCTTGGAAATGGTTGAAAAGTGGAAATCAAAACTGTCACACCAAAATCGGCATATTGGTATACTGAGCTTCAAATATAAGGCTGGGTATGACTTTGAGACTACGCATTTTGGAAAAAAACCACGCCTTATATTCGAATAACTACGGTAATTCGAACTTGAGGGAGACCCCAGACGCGTGGTTGAATCCCCAAGGTGAGTGTTCAAACTTGAGGGAAACCTCAGGTGCGTGTTTGAATCATCATAAGTTCTCATATATGTGTCTGTGTGTCGTCATACACACGCATGCTTAGAGAGTTGAAACTAAACGAAACCCAATTTTAGAAGTAGTACTCTGATTGAACTGGCAAATTCAGATTCCTCCCGTAGTTACCTATATTTATTTTTTTTATTCCCCCCGCCCATTTAACTAAGTTCCCGATTCAACAAAATAATTCATACCAACTGCACGAACGTACCAATTTATGTTGTCATTTTAACACGAAAATGTTATATGCCGTGGTCCACCATGAATCTGCGAACGTGCTTCCCTTACGGAAGTGACGTTGAAAAAAATGTACTAAAAGATTGCAATGAAAAAAACTAAACAAAATCTGTCTAGCGACATCGAACCAACAATCTCTCAATTCCCAGCGTGCGGCACTAACCACTACGTTACAAAATGTAGGTTGTCTGGAGGGCTAAAGGCAAGCTATATATATATATACACAATAGACCATTTGGCAGCCCTCAAGCGTTTCGAAACAACGTGTTTTGTTACCAGTGGCGAGATGGCGCAACGGCCTCACGTTAAGGGCGCCCTATAAGTCGTCGTCGCCTCCACGAAGCATGCTGCCGATGACCTTAAGGGGGCGCCATCATGCATGCGCTATTCAGACTTGTAATGCTGCAGCGCGCGCGCTTATCAGGCTTGTAATTCGGCAGAGGACAAAGTCACGGCCGCATTTACGATAAAAGCGCACTGCTGACGTACAGGAAGAATTGTGACAGTTGTTCGCACTTGTCCTGTGTATACTTGGGCACTCGTTTCACGCGAACAGTGCACTTCAAGTGTCAAGCTGTGACAGTTGTTAGTCTGCGCTTGCCCCGTGTATGCTAATTTCGTGCGTGCTTTGTGCTTGAGGCGTGCGCTGCAAGTTTCGAGCTGCTTGCCGTTTCTAACGTGACTTTGTAATTTGTTGCTATTGCAGGAACAATGCACAATAAACACACAACTACCTCTATCAGGACATGTTTCACTTTCGGGCTATACCGATTCCCATATAGGGGGATCAGCATAAAGTTTCTCACAAATACCTAGAGGGAATTGTGGCGCCACCGTCTATGCAAATTTCTTAAGGGGTGACATTGGAGCGCTGGGAATAACGGGATATGTGTCTGCGAGGCTTGTGTAAGCTTGTGTTGAGCGAGGTTTTGGCCCAAAAACGAATACGACTGCCGAAATAAAGCTTCTCTAGAACAAAACGTTTATCAGCGGATCTCATTCACGCATATTATATTATAAAATAAAAGTCCACTTACCTTGACGGCACAACCAAACGGCGAAGGAAATAAACAGACGGCTTAAACGCGGCAGAAAGAGCGCTCACTTTGTCGTCTGCCGGCCAGGTTTAGCGCCGTTGGTTACTTCTTACGCTTAGAGATATCTCTTAGAGAGTGTCTTAGAGATATACAAATCCGAGTCAAGTTCGAAGCTCGGGTATACTATCCTTCCCTTGCATCCAGTAGCTCGCCTGTGGCACATTTTTCTTTAGGTATGATTGTGAGAAACTCTTTGGGGATAAGCCACGATTCTTTATTGTTTATAAGGTCCACAGCAGCGTATATTCACCTGCTATACCTGCACCACCAGGAGTGAATTTTTTATGGGATGGCAGTATCAATGGCAATGTTGTTTGGTCTAAGTAGGTTAATTTTAGTGCGCAATAGTAAAAAAATAAATAAAAATATAATACTTGCTGCAACATTCAGATTTTCCAACATACCTTATAAATGACACTTGCATTCTTAATTTCGTTGCAGGTCGCAACCGCTGGCGCACATCGGGCGGTGGCGGCGGGCGTAGAAATGACTACGACGATGACAACCGCCACGGAGGGCGTCGCTATGCCACCGGGGCCAACGCCTACAACCCGGGCAACAACGACTACTCCACATCCAACAACTCAGACCTGCCGAACAGCAACTACGGCTATGGCATTTCAAACTCAAACCAGTCGTCCCACCAGTCCCACCAGCAGTCACACCAAAACTCACACCAGAACTCGCACCAGTCTTCGCACCAGAACTCGTCCTCCCACAACAGCCACCACGGCAACTCAAACCAGTCGTCTGGTATGAGCAGTGGTGGCGGAAGCGGATCAATGATGGGAATGAATTCCATGGGGCACATGGCTCCCATGACGCCCATGATGGGCCACATGATGCCCGTTATGAACATGTCCAACGGCCAGTCGTACATGATGCCACCCATGCAGCAGCAACAGCAGTCCGGCGGGGGGCAGCAGCAGTCTGGTGGGCAGCAAGTTCCTCACAGCCTGCTGGGACCTCCACCACCACCCCCGCCACCACCAGGCGTCACAAATGGCGCGTGGTAGAAAAAATCTTGTTCTGCGAGCTGGACTATGTTTTTATTTTTACCTCATGGTTTTTAGACCTACATGCAACATTAGGGACAGTTGCGGTGGCTGTTTTTAGTTTTACCTCATGGTTTTTAGATCTACATGCAACATTAGGGACAGCTGCGGTGGCGTCGATTTGTTGCGTTCAGTGCACCCTGATGAGGACGAGGCAACTGAACTCTGTTTTATTTAAGACCCTCCCCCCACCGCAAGAACCACCAGAAAAAGCAGTTGTGACGTGGCGATAGGAAATGCTCTCTCCCGGCAGTCCTGTCATAATCGCTGGACAGAAGTGGCAGTTGTGTTTGATGTCCCTCAGCCCTTTGTAGGAGATGTGGGCGTAGCTGCGAGCAGGAGCAAGACCACTACTCTGTCACTCTTGAAACGAGTGATAGTTACGCCATAAGGGAGTTTACTTTCTTTTTCATCCAAAATTCAAGCACACACTTCCGCTGCGTGCCGAAGTGGCTAAGCAGGTAGCCGTAAGTGGGTGCCGAGCCAAAATCGCAAGCCTCTATTTCACCACTGGCAAAGTTCCTCGGGGAAAAAAAAAAAAAAAGAGAGAAGATAACGGTAGAAGGGCGGCTATCAGTGTGCATGGTCGCAGCTGTCAGCTAGTGTTGGTGCACAGCACACTCGTGTTGCCACTTTCTTGTTTCCGAATGACCAAACCTAATTTTCAAGCACGACCCTTTGAGATCTTGTGTCTGCATCATCATGTGCTGGTGCGATGAAGAAATGTTGTCTACTGTCTTGCAGGTTCTCATCTTTGCATTCACTTATTTTAATGAAGCAGGTGACATAGCTGTTTTGAAGGTAACACCTGCAAACACTGAAGTCTTTTGATCATTTTGCTCGTTTCTTGGTTGTCATGTCGTTATGCTTTTTGTATTCTGCACACCTCTTCATGCGCCACTGCGTTGGCAATGTCGCTTGCTACAGATGAAATCGTGGTTAGAGTTGGCACATCTACAAGGTGTGCACACTTGGCCTTTGTGACTGATTCAGTGTTGCACGTCTCAAGCATCTCGACTTTGCGGGAAACTCGCTCTAGCGTCGTTTCAAGCAATTGTCTTGTTTGCAACACTACGTTCATCCAGCATAATTTGCACAGATTTGTGGTCAGTGGCTGTCTTTCAGTAACAACAGAATGTACGGAAGGTTTCTGCACAGCTATGCCACTGGTTTATCGTTCAAAAAAAATATTTGTGTCTATTAATGAACTTTTGTTCTACTTGCCCAGTTGTTAGAGCTATGTGTTTTTTTTATATATGCGACGCAGCTTTTTGATCAGCCTGTGTAACGCTGTCCGTCCGTCCACACCGCTCTCCTCACTGCAGCTGTTGGAGCGGTGTTAAGTAGTTCATGCCCTCCTAACAGTGCGCGGTGATGTCTCTTTCTGTCTCTTTCCCTTGCCGCATGTCAGCTCTTCCTCGCTTCACCCTCTCCACCGCACACAACACTCAAGCCCATCCTCACAAGGGCATCATCTCACTTTCGCCACCTATCTCCATCTGGCGGCTAGAAGAAGCCAGGAGCTGGCGGGTGCGCACGCCTCGAGAATCTTCTGGCGCCGGCAATGTTGACAGCGTGCATGCTGCACGATCACGCTGATGGGTGAGGTGCTGTCGCGGCATGCTTCCCACTAGTATGTGCGTTCCTTTCCCGGCTGTCGCCGGCATTGTGAAGATTAGCGAAGCCAATGGTGTTCGCGAACAGAGACGTCAACACTGATGAGGCATGAGCCAGGGAAGCCGAATGCAAGTGTCAGCAGTGGAAGAGCAGCAAAACTGACGAGGTGTGAGTCAAGAACACTGATCATGTTCAAGAATACAGACGGCGCGCGGGTAACAAGGAAGCAGACTGCAAGCGTCAAGGTATCCTACCTCCAGTGTTTTTGCGTTTTAAACAAACGTTTACTTGAGGAAGCGCTACACCAAGTTTCGCTTTAAACCGTTCTTCCAGCACCCGCGTCGACGTCCGTTTCAACTGGGTCAATGCCGTGCGCACCACTGCTGCTTTGCATCTCATCAGGGTTCTTTTCGGTGAGATGGTCCATAGTTTTTTTTTTTTTTAAGGGCAAAGCTCCTTATAGCGGCACCCGTTCGTCCCTCGTAGTCGTAGTGTGTAGCCAGTCTTACGCTTTGACCTCCAAGGTGGTGCCAGTGGGAGATTTCTCCTGTGCGTTGTTGAACAACAAAAAAATTTCGCAGCGTCAACTAAAAGCCGAATTCTTATGTCTCTCATTCCCCATTATCAGCCATTGGCATGTTCCAGTAGGAAACGTTAGTAGAAGTAGAAGTGTTAAAAGCAGACTTCTGCTGTCTCTCATTCCCTGTACAACGAAAGACGCCAGATGTTTTCTAAAAGCAAAATGAAAAGACGGCAGATGTTTCTAAAGCAAAACAAAAGAAAAAGACGCCAGCTGCTTAACGAAAGACGCCAGGTGTTTTCTAAAGCAATGGTTTTATAATCAAAACCATATCGATACAGGTTTGTAGTTGCCGATGCTCGTTGCCGTCAATGTGCGCTCGTATGGATAAGGATGCCGAAAGGCGGGCGCGCAGGGCAGCGGCAGTGCGCGCTCGTAGAGGGGACCCTGAAGTGAGAGCATGCGAGGCAAAAGCGCGCCAGGAAGCTGCGCGACATCGCTGCCAAGATCCTGCTGTACGGGAACAAGAAGCCACATCAGCAAGGCAGCGTCAGCAAGATCCCGCCGCACGTGAACAAGAAGCTGTTGCGGCAAGTCAGCGTCGGCAAGATTCTTCCGTACGGGAACGAGAGGCCGAGGCAGCATGTCAACGTCGCGAAGCAGATCTTGACAACGTTCAACAATGGGAAGCGGCGAGGAAGCGCGCATATCGCGAGGCGAATTAACGGAAGAAAATTTCGCCGTATTACTTCCAGGAGCTTCGCCCAATCTCATCATCATTCACCTCGTGGATCTGCCGTCAATTTTTTTTTTACATTTGCACAGTGATCAATCTTTTTTTTTTTTTTTCAAGCTTGGAACATCAGCATTGTCTTGCCCTGGTTTTTTGGAAGCTGCAATGTTTTTGTTTGTTTGCTTACCTTGCCTGTGATGAGAACAGCAGTTTAAAAATTTTATACCCCCCGCCGGTGCCATTTGATGCCTACATTTCTCATGTGCTGGCAGTTGAAAAATAAAGTCCATCAATTTTAATAACAACTGCACTGATTTAACAAGTCATGTCATTGCCACTAGCTTTGTCAAGCAACATTTCGTCACCTATTACCTTTGTATATTTAGTCATTCAAGGTCTGCTGCATGCATGTTTTTTTGCGCCACTATGAGAATAGTAAAATGTGGTACATATAATTGTAGTGTGACACCTATAGGTGTTTGGAATTTAAGTATTTGTCAATTTATGCGAGCCACTTCTAAAGCTGTCAACATTTATCTTTTCCACCATGCAGACTGCTCCCTTTGTAAGCCTTTTGTATAACCAGTGAAATTGGCACAAAAAATAAATCCTGTTCTTATTGTAATTTTTGTCTGTCTGTCTATTGTATTGTGTATGGTGCTCTTGACAAGAGTTCTGTCGCAGCTTGTTGTCGTAAAGACTTTGTTCCAGTCATAGTAAATTACAGTAATTTTTTTTTGTAACGAAGAGGTGACACTTGAAACCGTGACTGTAATAATGTTCCGATTGTTTTCTAGCTTTAACAACGAAGCAATAGCATTTCGTTCTGCGGTTACGTTCAGGCTGTTGAAATCAAATGAAAAAAAATGCCCCCACCTCACCGAAGAAAATCGTGAAGAAATGTGAATGCATTGCGTAGCATCCATAACGGCGTTTCACACCCGAGAACCCAGCGTTAAGAAGGTTTTTTTTTTTTCCTTACACCGTGCAGCCAATAGCGCAATTTGCCGCACGTGGCATTTTTCTGTTGCGAGAAATGTGGTACGTGTTTCCAGCGCTAGTAGCTAGCGTGCACGGTTGAAAAATACTACGAAGTGAACAAAACAAGCAGCGTTCTCGACTTGGTGTTGGTGTTTCACAGCGGCGTTTTGAGAGCACATTTCCGGATGTTCGTGAGAGGTGCCCAGCCAGCGAGCCGTCGAGAGTGAGGTACGAGCGGAGGGCAAGAGAAAGAGCGACGAAGCACTGCACCTGTCATTGTACCTGACGGCCATAATGCCAGCGTCTTATCAACACAAATGCGTTGCATGCACACTGCATTGATGCGGTGGAAAGTCGGGTTCAAGTCAACGAGGTGGGAGCGAGGATAAGCGCATGTGCTTGCAGCGGTTGTCGACAGCTACTGACGCCGAAGCGTGACATGGTGGGGGCTCCAATTGCTAGGGGTGGGCGCGCTCGCAGCTTTTGCCATGGGAGAGGGCAGTGGACAGATCCCAAGAAACGCCTGACATAGCCCGACTAAGAAATGCATTTGCATTTAAAATTACTTGTGTAGACAAGATTTAGGGTGGCAACACGTCCAACACTTTGTTTCGGACACACATACGTGTACTGTGGCAGTCAGCTTGGAGATATCCAAGGTTGCAGTTTGTATTAATTTAAGCTTGTTATATTTGCAGAATCACTTGCGTGCCAGTCATGTTTGCACATCATGTTAAAAAGAGGTGCCGGCCATGCCATGATTTTGACCCAGTAGGATGTTTGTCCTGCTCTCGAAAGACGCAGCATTGCCTTTGAAGCACCCTATGAAAGCAAAGTAGTGCATAGGTCTATCTAGCAACCACAACTATGCGGCAAAGCTGCACACTGTTTTTGCAGGTGACATGCGTAAGCGTGTCCTGAATGACATGCCTGGTGTGCCAATGACTGGCAATGAAAGTAGAAACACCTTTCAGGACTGCCATTGGAGTGCAGGAGTGCAAAGGCCGACTGCCTCGAGAATAGATTTTTGGCCGGTCACCCATTTAGGAATAATGGCGGTGCCAAGGGAGTCCTCTTGTGAAACTGGTTCGGGTTTGCGGCAGGGAGTTCTGCATATCGGCTTCTCCGCAGTGGACGGTTGCTAGCAGCATGTGTAAAATAGATGCAGAACTCTACGACCTTACTGTAGCAGAGTTGTGCATCTGTGCAGTAACTCTAATTCAGACCATGGCCTTCGAGATAGCCGGCAACACAATTTGTGATGGAAAAAAGCATTGCGCCGCATTTTTCACAGGACCTTGGGTTTTGATCCTTCACATGACCAAACACACTGGAAGCCACGTGCACACTACTATGTGTTTGTTGTAGCCATTTTTAATAAGACGATATTCTCTTACTCCTACCTATCTCGTCAACTAATTGCATTTGTCTGTTGTATCAGGACAACATCGTTGAAGAGATCGCCGACACGTTCAGTTGCCCTTGGGACATGTGAAGGGTCGGATGCCTGTCGTACGCACCAAAGAGAAGCAGTGGCAGCACGAGGAACAAGTGTGCACGGCGCGATACAGCCAATGCTACCGACGATCAAACGAGTGGCGCCAAATGCATGCTCAGCGCCACGACGCCGGTAGGCTTCCCCAATAGGCCCATTAGCTTCTCTAGACTCCCCTCATTACACGCACTTGGAAGGGCACTGTGTTTCTAAATGCAGAGCACTATAGAGGGCACGAAAACACAGCAGAAAGTAGACCATGTGTCACACACCTAGTTTGGAGATCCCCCTAACAAAATCCTACTCATGC